AAGTCGTATTCCTCCATTTTTTACACGTAAATATTTTCTTTGGTTAGTAAGAAGAATATTGTGCTAACTTATGTATATTGTCCCTTATTTCAGATTTGGGTACGTTTATTATAAATAAGTATTTTTACCTACTTAATTTATAGGAAAAACAACAGAATAGAGTATTTGACAGTATTAAAAATAAAGTGCCAATTGTTAGCATCTGTGTTTAGAATGAATATTGGCAGGGGTCTTTACTATTTTTACAAAAAAATATTCATAATTTTACCAAAAACCCATGAAACAGATAATAATAGCTTTCTTATCTATTGTCACGTGACCCAAAACGCTTGGGATTGGCGGAGCCTAAAATGACGTCACACACAAGTAAACTTCCGGTTAAAGTGACATTACATTGTATCGCTTGACTTTTTAATAACAGTCGTGTGACGTCACACACCAGTGAGACGCCATAATATTGTCCTGAGAAACGTTTTTGAGGCAACTTGAAAATGGAGTTTTTGATTTGGTTATTTTTAATTGAAATACACAACAGAATGATGAATATCCACTTTTTACGGACTCCATAAACATGAGTAAATAACGTGAGATCGTTTTCTAAAACTTGTCAAATACCCTATTGTATGGGGCATGTACCCACTAACCAAAATGAGCGCTTCTTATGACCATAATTTTTTACTATGGGGGCAAGTCTCAAATTCTCAATACGCGCTAAGGGGAAAAAATTTTAGCCAATAAATAAATATCAAAAAAGAAACTTCTTATACTTTTAATTAAGCTATTTCCCCACATCGAATTGAGACTACCCCCCATACAATAGTAACAAATAATATTTGATTATTTAAATAACAAAGACACATGACAAAAAGTCCGGACATGTCCGGACAGATCCCATGATAACCCAAACTGCGATGCACCTTAAGTAGTATAATGCGATTCAACTAAGAATAGGACCGACTGGGCGCCATATTCTGACGTCATAGCTGTCAATTCAAACCAAATAGGTAGAGTGAGAAAAAAAAGTTTTTATTTAATAAAACTTATTTACTAAGATTAAGTGAGAAAAAAAACCGGCCAAGTGCGAGTCGGACTCGCGCACCGAGGGTTCCGTACAAACCTGCAAGGTGTACAAAGTTCGTTCATTACGACAATCGAGTCATAACTATGGTATTTTTATTGCAAAATGAAATTCATAACATTACAATGGGGAAAGATGGAGGAGCATAAATTTAAGACAAAGATCTCTTTATCGTTTAAGTAATCCTTTATTTTATATTAACACATATCATTTATCTATAATATAACTGAAACACTTATACTAGCCTTGCAGCAGACTTGCGAAAGTTCTTTTATTAAAGTTATTTATTTACTAAGTTTTTTAGTCACTATTTAGAAATCTGGTTCAAAATATTAATTAAGTATTAAATTTGAACCAGACCTGTAAATGGTGACTGAAAAAGTTATGAATAGTACCACATTGAACATTGAAGTTCGAAAAAACGTTATCAATAGTTGTACAACTTCGTGTAGTGCTACTGTTTATTAACGGAAACATGTTTATGGATGAAAAATATGTGGAAATTCCATTTTGGGGATTCATTCTAAAATCTATATTGAAGTCTCCCACAACAATCAGACGAGAAGATGAAGTGTACATATTGAGGTTGCTGCCGAATATTGTTGTATTTATACATTCTATTGCAACATTAATTTGACATTGTGGTGACCTATATACAGTTATCACTCTGATATTAAACATTTCAAAATGCAAGCATTCACAATGGCCGTTTGCAGCGCCTATTTTTTAATAAATATAAACTTATTACTTGAGGAAAAAAGTAATAAGTTTATATTTATTAAAAAATATATATTTTGTAATGTAACTAAAAATTTAAGGTTTTCGGAATTTTCCCTTTATGTGTGCTATAAAACGTTGCTTCATGCCAAATTTCAAGATTCTAGGTCGACTGGAAGTACCCTTTAGGTTTTGATTCCCTTGCGAGTACTTGCGAGTTTCAAAAGATGCAGCTTAAATTGCTGTTTCTTTTGATTGCGTTGACATAGAAGTTTGATTTTGTTACAGCTTAAAGGTATTATAGACCTGAGTATTTGGTATGAATTTCAATTTAATACCTTTACGCGTTTATGAGGAAATGGGTAGTAAGGTTAAAATTATTAAAAAAATATATATTATGTGATGTAACTAAAAATTTATGGTTTTCGTAATTTTTCCTTTATCTATGCTATAAGACGTTGCTTGGTACCAAATTTCAAGATTCTGAGTTCACGGGAAGCACCCTGTAGGTTTTGATTCCCTTGCAAGTGTCGAAAATTTGCGGCATAAACGGCTGTATCTTTTGATTGCGTTGGCTTAGAAGTTAAATTTTTTTACAACTTCAAGGGACAGTAGACCTGAGTAATTGATATAAATTTCAGCTTCATACCTCCACGCGTTCCTGAGAAAAAGGGTCTTGACAGACGGACGGACGGACAGACGGACAACAAAGTGATCCTATAAGGGTTCCGTTTTTCCTTTTGAGGTACGGAACCCTAAAAACATCAGATTTTATTAATAAAATTTATTTACTAAGATTGAGAAAAAAAAACAACAGATTTTTAATAATATTTATTTATTAAGACTGTGTGAGAAAAAACATTAATCAGAATCTAGCTCTTCCATTCCGCTCATCTCTGCATTACCGCCGGAGTAGTTATGAATAATGATGCACTATTACTAGGTCACATACGAATATGCATCCTGTATGAAAACTAAAGTTTTAAATCGAGTTTATGAACGCAACTTAAAGCGACATTTGGTTGATGAATTAAGGTATCAACCATTCATAGCCAAAGCTCAATAAATGAAAAACAAAAATATCAACCAATATTAATTATCGCTATTTGTTATTGTTTGTTTACAAATGTTTGCATTTTTATTCTAGAATTAGATTTTTTTCCAAACCGTACTTCTAAGCGACGTTTGACAGATGGAGGTCATTGGCTTTCCTATTCTTATTTGAATCGCATTATAATTTAAAGTACTAAATAAATAAACAGGTGCGGCAGCTACGATCCCAACATTTATTTTGAAGTGAAACTACGCACGCTTGACTTGGGGAGTAAGCTGGCGAACGCGTTACGCGTTACGAAAAGTGTGTTCGGGCGAGGCGAACGGGAGTTGAGTGGGGGATATAAGCAAGAGAAAGTAGTGCGCGCGCACATTTTCCTTCTCTCTTTCTCTTATAGCTAGTAAATGAAATATGTTAATAAATAAATAAATATGTACATACACGTACATATGATACAGATGGAGCTAAAGAAGTTTCACTTCAGTCGTGTGGTCATAAGCACACTCGTTTTTTTTTAATGTTGTGTGCGTAAGAGTTGCTTCTGTCGAGAATGAACACAGACTGAATGGTGGTGATCCAACTGCTTATGCATCTGTCGACGTAGAGGAGACATAAGACAGGGCTCGCCCTTAGGAGTTGCTTAGTGTCGCCGCACAAGGGCCACCGACCACAACCACAAAACACCGCCACCGGCATGTTTCTTGTATTTTACATACATTTTATATGGACTCGCCACACACGGTACGCCGGTGGCCGCCACACGCTACAAATCGTCGTTGCTCGCTTCTTGTGGCCCGCGTCGGCCACTTAATGCGCCGATACAAAACGCCGCCACACGTCACTCGCGCGATTCCCCACCCCTCTCTCCCTTACCTTAGTCGGCCGCTGTCGCGCGCTTCAGCCACTTTAGTAGCCGCTTCTAGCTTCTCGTGGCGGCATTTGTGGCTGTGGCGTGTGGCCCGTGTGCGGCGACACTTATACTTACTTAAGTACTAATAGTTAACTAAATATTTTCAGAAAACCGTAAGTATTACACCATTAATAAATATTATAGCGTACATAGCTTTTCTTACGTATTAAGTTAAACAGCCAAGAGAGCTGAATATCCTACCACTTCATTGTCGACAGTCACTTGACAAGAGCAATTTACTCTGCGCCCGTATCTACTTACACTGGGCATTTTCAATAAAATCTTTTAGGGATTTTTCTTGGTTTGTAGGAATAGGAATGAGCAGACAGTTAATCAAAATCATTTATTTAGTTTAGGCTGTTACAAGCACTCATGAATGTCTAGAAGCTACGTCATCGGTTCGTAAATCTACGGCGGGAGACCTTGTTTGTACTAAGAAGAACCAAGTTAATAGTTACCAGTATGAGATTGCGTTGAGGAGCTCGATGGCGTGGGTGGTTAGCGCGTTCGGCTGCGATCGTTGAAGTTAAGCAACTTTCGCAGTGGCCGTTCATTGGATGGGTGATCAAAAATCTTCCTCGGACGGATATTTCATAGTCTAAGTGGCGCCAACTGGAGACGTAAATACTCCTTAACACCCTCATTGGTGTGCGTGAAAACCTAATATATACAGGATGTAAAAAATCCTTTAACGACGTCGAAAGCCACGTATTTTCTACATCATGGCGATCATTTTTTTCTTCTGGTCCATAACTGGGAAATGTATGGTTATGGAGATATTGAAGGTCAAAGTCACAATTTTTTTTCAAGATTTATACATTAATATTTTCAAAACTTTTTTACTGACGCACTTACACACACGCACACATATACACACAGGCACATTTTTGCAGTAGCGCGCCGCGCTATACTTTCCATACTGATTTTTTTTGTATTTTTTAACTTAAAAATACAAACGTATAATATTTTGTAATATTACATGTATGGGTGTACAGATAGATAGATAGATTAACACTTTATTATAACACCAAATACATAATTACGTAACATTCACAAACAATAATATTAACAAAAGCGTTATAATTGGCGGTCTTATCGCTAAGAGCGATTTCTTCCAGACAACTACTGAGTATGAAAAGTTATATTATTATATTAGAATTAAAATTACAGAATGCGTACTTTTAGTTTTTGTCATAGGATTTTTTACACCCTGTATATAAAACTATTTTTTAAACTCGCAGGCCTCCGAATAAAGAGGTTGGTCCTGTCAGCCAAAACAGGGGAGCATGTAGACAAGACACTCAAGTACGAGTGTACGGATTGTGAGGTGACAGACGTGGTCTGTAACGGGGAGAGCGTCACCGCAGCAGGGAGAGTCAGCATCGTGAACAGCTCCAAGATCATCAGCTTCAGCTTCCCAAGGTGAGGAGCTAAGAGAGAGAGAATCTAACCCATGTAGCGCCCACGTGCAATAATTAACTATGACGACTTCCGTGGTCGAGTGGTTTTTACGCCGGGTTTCATGGTGTCGCCGACTCGAGAGGTCCCGGGTTCGAACCTGGTGGGGGCAGATGTTTTTGTGATAAATACGAGCATTTATTTAACTCCAGATTTATGATAACTCCAGTCATGGATGTGTAATATTTACTTCTATATAAATGTACTTATATCTATACTTATAATAAATCTGTAGAGATGTCAATTCTGTACATGACATATATTTTTAAAATAACTATCAGGGGGTGATAAGTGATCGATACTGATGCCAAAAATGCAATCAGTAAATTTTTTGTCTGTCTGTCTGTCTGTCTGTCTGTGTGTATGTTCCTTATAGAAACCAAAACTACTCGACGGATTTTAACGAAACTTGGTACAATTATTCTTCATACTCCTGGGCAGGTTATAGTATACTTTTCATCACGCTACAATCAATAGGAGCAGAGTAGTGAAGGGAAATGTTGGGAAAACGGGAGAAGTTACTCCATTTTTTAAGCTTCCGTCGCGTGTGCAGCCTTAATGATTAAAGTTACATAGAAACCATGTATGACGGAAATATTCTACATAAAATTGTCTAAAAAATATCCCGCAACAGCATATGTCTATCTTTTATGGTTGACTCACAATAACACTTGTAACTCCCTATAGCTTAGCAGTTCGGAGCATTCTGATCATATTTGTTTACTCTTACGTTTATAATACTCTGACTCATCCCTAATTTAAAAAAGTTAACATTATTACATTAAATAAGCCATCGCGCCGTCGCACGTGAATACTGAATCATGCTATAAGGATTATTTTTGTGTAACGGTTGCCGCGCTCGACACGGGTCGCGGCGGCGGTAGGGTATCAAAATACGGGAGGTCCGAGAGCGAGCTGTCTAAATCTGTTTTCTGCGTCGCTCCCCCCCCCCCTGGGGGACGATCGCTTCCGATGAAGCCTTAGAGGCCTTCCCGGCCAGAGGCAGCCCCTACGGGTGTTTTTTAGTCAGTACGAGTCTGACATAACCTTGCAGCCGGCTGTAGGGTATCCATGAGGATTTCTCACCTGCTCCCCCGTCTGGGAGGAACCAAAAAAAATAAAAAAAGAGAGTGAGCGAGCTTCAATATTTGGCTGTTGATGCGTTCAGAGCGTTCGACCTTATTGACAGACAATAATTGAGAAATATTGAGTAACCGTGCTTATCAGCGCGACTTTTAGTCTTTAAATAGTTTATTTAAATTTCTTTTGTTGTTATTTTGTAAAATAGATATTAGTTGTTTTGGTGTGTTTAAATATTCGTTCAAATTAAAAATTATTAAGCGTAGGTACTTTTATTAATTAAAGTAGTTATAAGTATTTATTTTTAAGTGAAGTAGGTATAGGTAGATAGTATTGCACAGGCGTTTCAGCTTTATTTTCATTTCTTTTTTGTTGTGAGTTGTATATATTTCTGGTTATAATTCTATAAGAATATTTTAGTTTAAATAGTCACTTAGATTTTAAGTGTAAGGTAGCTAAAGTTAGGACCACGTTGTTTTGGTAGTGTTTAAATATTCGTTCAAGTGTAATTTAATCATATGGGATGAATGTACGATGGCCCATCGAAAAGGAGTAGAAGCAGTAGACAGAACTTTAAGGGATATAAGACAAAATGATCGACCAATGGGCGGTATCACAGTTTTATTTTGTGGTGATTTCCGACAAACCTTACCGGTAATACCACGGGGAACCCGAGCTGATGAGGTTAGGGCTTGCCTGAAAAGCTCTTATTTGTGGCGTGATATACAATCGGTGCATTTGTCTATAAACATGCGAGTGAGAACTGTAGATAACCCGGATGATCGTGAATTTTCTGATATATTATTAAAGAAAATACCTTCACCAAAGATACCTATCCACTGCTACACCAAGGAAAACTTATTCTGACGCCTGAGTTGTGTTGTATAGTGTAATCCCAACAACATATTACATCGTCAGTTTACGGTGACGTAACAAATATATTAAATAAGGATAATTCTTGGCTATGCGAAAGGTCCATTTTAACTCCTCGCAATGACCAGGCATCTGAGATTAATAATAAAATACTGTCGAATATCCAGGGGGAAAGCAAAGTTTATAGTTCAATAAATAGAATGGCCGATGAACAAGAAGCCACTAACTACCCGATAAAATTTTTAAATTCTTTAAATATGCCCGGACTTCCTTCTCATGAAATTTGTTTAAAAATTGGCATTCCGATTATTCTACTCCGAAATTTAAGACCACCACAAATTTGCAATGGAACTCGGCTTAAAGTAACCCAGTTGCAACAAAATGTAATCGAGGCTCAAATTTTAACAGGTTGCGGTGCAGGAGAAACCATCTTTATTCCCAGAATTCCCATAATACCAAATAATTTTCCATTCCAATTTAAAAGAACGCAATTCCCAGTATCGGTGTGTTATGCAATGACAATAAATAAGGCTCAAGGGCAGACTATTCGTGTTGCTGGAGTAGATCTCGGTGTCAGTTGCTTTTCACATGGTCAGTTATGTCGCTCTTTCCCGGGTTAGCAGTCCTAGAAATTTTTATATTCACGTGCCGGATGGGTCAACTTTCAACGTAGTTTACCCGTTTGTTCAGAAGCTTTGCGCTGAAGTATTTTCATTCTATATGTACCTAAGCCTCATGTGAAAGCGATCTAAACAATATTACCAATACATTAACATAATAACATACAAGGAGTTACATGCTGATGGTTTCGGGGCACAGTGATAATAATAATATTCTGCGGTTCCTTATTGCGATATTTTTAACAGTATTGTGGATTGACATATTATATTTCCCTACTAAAATACGAAAGTTAATCTGTATGTCACATCAAAACCACGGAACCCTGAGGAAGGACATATGCTACTTTTTTACGAAAAACGACGAAAACGCGGACGAAGTCGCGGGCAAAAGCTAGTATGTACAATATATGTATTCTATCCGTTACCCTAGTATCCCATTACGCAAGCCTTACAGTGCTTACGTTACTATGTACGAATTATTCTGTTACAAATTAAACAAGTTTCAACGGTATAGACACGGTAATATTATCTATACAGTATTCTATCTTCATACAAACGGTCGAAAAGCGTGTCATACCTACGCCACTCGAGTTCGATGTGCTCTCGGCGGGCACCCAGTCGCGAATGCGCCGCCGCGCCGCAACGACGACCGAATAGTCTGAATTGTTTTTTATGCAGTTAGCCGTGCTTAAACGTGCGTTTTGTAATGTAAATATTTGATTTAATTAAGTAGATACCTACATAATTTAGTATGGAAAAGAACAAATGACGATCAATATCGTGCAACAGCACAATTGCTGTTTTTGGTTGCTTGAACTCTTCAATAACACACCCAGAGATATCATTTTTTAAATTACCTGAAATATTGGAAAGGTGTCTTACCTTAGTAGAATATTTTTGAAGTTATACTTCTTTAGGCGCGTTATGAAAAAATGATGAGAGTGAAATGTTTTAGATGCGCGCGCATCACTGTAACCCAAAAGTAACAGCATGAAGTTGGCCGCGGGCGCGTTGAAAAAATCATGTGAGTGAAATTTCGAGATGCGCGCGCATCACTGTAACACAATAGTAACACCATGAAGTTGGCCGCGGGCGCGTTATGAATGTTAGTGTCTAATAATGGTGGATTATTAACCACTAAATCGCGTTGTCAAAAACAATGTTGGCACGCTCGTCGCCTCTGATCGCTGTTTTCATATTTATAATATTTATCCACATGTTTCTAGTTTCTATATAGACACAACGTGTTTTAGTTACTTACAAGTGCTAATTACATATGGACTAATAACTTAAATTCAGTAGTGATTTTAATTGAATATTTTGAATATTTATTTAATTTTTCAAATTAAAACTGAACTTAATTGACTGTATTAACTATCCTTTTCCAGTCCTTTTATTATTTTATTGTAATTATTAATTATTTGCATACAATTAAAAAATATTTTTAATGATGCTAAAGAAGTATAATTTCTCACGCGCGTACATAAGTTACACGCATCCATTTTTTATATACCTATCTACTAGTACGTTATTTGATTCTAATATTTAGGTATTTCGGTTTTTCCATCTTGCAAAATATCTGGAATAATATATAAATAAATGGTTAGGATGAAAAAAGAGACAAACGAGTAATCTACCTACACTCGCGTTAAAAACAAAACTAAGTACATAAAATACAGTAGGCTGGCGGCCCTACCGCGTGCCAACGCAGCGCTCGGTGTAGGCATTTATTTTCAAGGACAGGGCGGAGTCACAATATTGTATAGATAATATTACCGTGGTATCGATGCACTCATTTATTTATTTATTGACGTTTCGCTTCCTGGATCGACGGCGCATGCTGAAAAAGATGCGAAACATCAATAAATAAATAAATCAGTGCATCTATACCGTTGAAACTTGTTTTATTTGATGATTAGTATGTGTGAAAACTTGAGAAATAAATATTCTGTTACAGTTTCGAGGATAGCAACTCGTGCGTTTATTGCGGCCTCTTCAAGAAGGATAACAAAATTTACAGGATCGTACTCGCAGTCATCGACAGTAAGTTAATATACTACACAGTTATGTGTGAGCAAATGCTCATAACTTGACCAAAACTTGGTTCTGATTGCGTCGTTCCTTTAAAGTGTGAGCGTTGATTGGTTCGATTGTTTGGTGTCGCGTCGTTTGATTGGCTATTATCTATTAGGTGGAAGTGCATTAGGGGTAGGTTTATAACTTTTTTTGTCGAAATAAAGTACTTTGGATATTAAAGGTAGAAAAAAAGTACATTGTGTCCAAAATAAAGTACTTTTTATTCCACTTTAATAATACGCTTAAAATATATTTTACGTTGCTACTAGCAACTTTTAATAAATAATTTGCGGCTACTGTAGTTTTTTTCCGCAATGGGAAAGGTCACGATACAAAGGCACACAGCCATGAAAATGTTGCAGGAATTAGCTAAGGGCAACATATTCATACTTACTGTCCGTTTTACGCAAAAATTCTTCCTGACAACCTATTTTTGTATATTTTATGTAAAATTAATCCGCGAGAAATCAAATCACATTAAATAAAGTATTTTCGCGTACTTTATTGTTGGCATAAAGTATAGAGTACAATTACCCGAAATAACGTACTTTATAATAAAGTACGGGTGGCAACCCTAATTAGGGGTGAGCTGGCGTCATCGGTTCCCGTACAAAGGTCTATTTTCACCCTTCTAACCTCTTCCTGTGTTCTGTGGACTAGACTTATACTTTATTATTATTATTTTAGATTTTTGAGGCTATCCAATCCTAACTGAACTGTAGTCACTGGGACCTATAAGATATATTGTGACTCGCCAACAAGTTAAAGTATATCTTTTAGCTCGACCGCTTCTCTTTAAGACGACATTTAATAAATGTCGTCTTTATCAAAGTGCTTAAATAACAGACGACATATAATAAATGTCGTTTTAGGTATTTAAGCACTTTGATCAACAATGTTATATAATAGTAGGGGAAAGGGAAGCCCAGGGAGCAAATACAAACTTTGTTTTTGCTTCATGGCGGCTCAAGCGGGGATTTTTGGTCTAGAATGGAACCTAGCAGAATCCTGATCAAGATTAGATTGATCCACTCAGATAGTTTACCTATTTGGTGATGGATAAAAAAAATCCTATACTAATTTATTTCTACTTTTTCAGGCGCATGTGAGTATATTTAAATATAATTACTTAATATGATTCTGGAATGATTCTCTAAAGCTAAACTAAAAATTGGACAACAGTGTATCCCTGTCGTTCTCTATACAGAATGAAAAGGACAGACTGATCTTAAATTTAGTTTTAAGTTTAAAGAATCCTGCCAGAAGCGACACCATTATTAAATTAAATTAACTATAATTACTTGTACTACAATTTTTTTGTTTATCAAATTGCTTATTAAAAATGTAAAAAAAAACTTATGTTTTAGCGCCTGGTAAGAAATGTTGTGGTTTTACAAAATGTATACATCTTCTATAACATATATTAAATTTGGAGTGTCTGCTTGTAATATTGAAATTTATATATAACTAGCTGACTCGGCGAACTTCGTACCGCCCAAAAGTAATAATTTGCAATAAATTAAAATTGCGACTATAATTTGAGATTTAAACTATCCTATCTCTCAAGTTGGATCGAACTGCACATGGTGTGCGAATTTTATTATAATCGGTTAAGTGGTTTAGGAGTCCATTGAGGACAAACATTGTGACACGAGATTTATATATAGGGTGAAATTGAATGTTTTAATGAAACTTCGTGAGATTGTTGGGTTACGTGAAAAGAATATGCCTGATTTTTTTCGGATTTTTTTGAAGTATTTTTTTTTCATGTTTTTATTTATAATTTGTGTATTTTTATGTCCTTTCCTCCTTTTGAGTAGTTATTCATTTTAAACAAACAAACTTACATATCCAGTGAAAAATAACTAATAAATAAGTACTTCAAAAAAATGGAAAAACATTAAAATTCCACGGCGGGTCAACGACCGACCGCGCCCGCCAGCCGTTGAGTGAGTACGTACCTCTACACAGAGTTCAGTTGACTCCTTTGATTCCACACAATACAATAAAGTCGTCTTGGATTGAAATAATAAGCACAAATGTCATCTTCTCTTAAGCGGAGAAAAACTTTAAAAGTTAATAATAATTTTGTCACGATTACAAATAGGCAAATGTTAAACAAAAAGAAATACTTATTGCAGTTCAATACTTGGGTGAAATTTATAACCCGGTATTCAAAAGTACTTACGAGACCGATGTATCTATTCATTTTTTTCACTTAAACTTTCCGTATACACTTTGTAAACACAATCAATCACCAAACCTACTTTCGTAAAGCCTTGTGGCTCTGCTGAGTATACCGTGACACTACAATAACAACACACCATATCCAACTTCTTATATTGAGGCCACAGAACAAGAACTAATCATGGCATTATCTGCAAATCTTCTCTTGTCACAAATTTAAAAGATACGCACGCGTGGTGGATAAACTTGACACTGCGCTCGCTCACTGCGCTTTGCACCGCGCATAGGTAGGTATTCAACCGATTCAACGGCGGGAGCGGTCATTGCTCCCGACCGCTCGTCTTCTGTTTTTACGTTTTTTTAGTAGTGCTAATTAGTTGTTTTTTACTTACTCTGTATGCGTGTTTAAAAAGAATAATTATTTAGTACCCAAAAGGAGATTAAAATATAACAAAAAAAAACGAAATTTTATTTTAAATCATTTTTAAAAAATCCGAAAAAAATCAGAGATACTCTATATACGTAACCCAATAATCCCACGAAGTTTCATTGAAACATTCAATTTCACCCTGTATATTAAGATTATATATACGGTACATACACCAAAATATCATTTGTTAAAATTTTTGTCTGTCTGTTTGTTTCGGCTAATCTCTGAAATGGCTGGACCGATTTTGACGGGGCTTTCATTGTCGACAGCTGATGTAATCGGGAGTAACTTAGGCTTATTTACTTATTTTAGAAAAATAAAGTAATGTTGCAATGTTCAAGTACTGTTCAGTACCGCGCGCAGTTCACGCGCATGCCACCACTGTGCCGTCACGTCGGGCGCCTCCCTCAATATCAGAAAGGCAGTCGCGCGCAGGGCTTGAAACCGGTTTCGAAAATACCGGTAAATAAAGGTTAATACCGGTTTTTAGAATAGGTTTCGTTCGGAGCGCGTCCGAAATGAAAGCGGTACCTAAAACCTTAATAAACCGGTTTAATCCAGAGCGACACGTGCACGCGTCGGCATCGCTTGAAGTTTGTTTTGTGTGAACTAATCAAGTCACAACTTGTTAATGCTCAGAGATTGGTGCATTTATTGACACGTGTGCTAGCGTCTAGTGAGTCGAGTTATTCATTTATTATCGATGCCGTCAGTAAGAGCGAAATGAAACCCTTTAAAAACGCTAAATTGATTCAAAACCTGTTTGATTTTGCTTTTTAGGAAAACCGGTTTTTTTAAGGTTAAGGTAGTCAGCTTCTCCTGTCTAAGGAATGTATTTGACACTGATTTAGGTTCGAAAATTAACCGGTAAACAAGCCCTGACCACGCGGACTCAGAACTTACTCTTTGGCGCGAGCGTCTATTGCTGACGGTTGTGTCTCAACGACTTCATTTAGAAATTGATTTCCAGTGCTTATATCATACTTTTGATTGATATTTTTATCTTTTATAATTTCACCGATCCAGGTTCTTAAGCGATTAAATAAAACTAAAGTTAACGCGGACGAAGTCGCGGGCGGGCGCTAGTTATGAATAATATCTACTGTTTATGTATGTACTTAACATGAAAACGAGCTAGTATAGACGAAAGTTAAGCTTTTCTCTCATTGGCCGGATTGTATTGTTGTTGTTATACCGACCAATTAGAGCCCTCCTTTCCTGTGTGACGCAGTTTTCCATTCTTGTCTTTTGTAAGCGATAAAAGGCATGGCAGCAACTCTAAATATTAATTTGATTAAAAATAAAAAAGGTTTATATTTTTTTGCTTTTAGCGCGGTTTAATTATTCTGTTAGGAGAGCTTTTTTAAAATATGAACTCATTTCAACGTATGAAATATATTTTATTGGAACAAAAACAATGAATAGATTAAATGTGCACGATAATAATTGCATTAGTTATAAAAACTGTGTCGCAACTATTAACGCTCACCTCTGAGAGTACATTGGAGTTCTTTAACATACAACAAACAAACAATAAATATTATGAATGATTTAAATTTAATTTAACGTACTTAAATTAACAAAACATTTAAATGCATTTTATGCGTGTGCGTATGGATATGTGTGTGTGTGTGTTAGTGTGATTGTGTGTGAATGTGGGTGTGCAGCTTAATGGAATAAGCCTGAGGTTATCCTCTGTTACTATCTACTCAGAAAGTCTTCTATCTGCTCATAAGTAAGCAAGTAAGTAAGTATAGTTGGCTTCTCTGTAGAAGAAATGTTTTTATTTCTGATAATTTCAGCTGTTACTGTAACTGGAGCATTCCCCATAACCTCTCCACCACTCGGAGAGCAGTTTGAAGCAGAAGTGCCGATACAGTGCGACGAATGCACACTAGAAAAGGTATGTACACTCGCGGAAAGACCCGCTCTGTTACCCATAATGCCATAATCGCTTGCGGTAGCGGCGTAGTAAAAATTCATTCATTGACATGTAATTATCGCTGTCTTACTTTATCGTATAGCGCTGTCGTGATCACGATGCGGATGACAAATTGCAACTAAAACAAATGCAATTAAATTCATTATTCAATCAATGAAATGCTCTCTATCTTACTTTTGTGCGGCGGCCCGGATTGGCGCGTCCGACGCGTAGTAAAAACCACTGTAGAAAACCGTTCAAAGCATTTTGTTCGCCAAGTGACAGAGCGCAAAATTCCGCGATAGTACCATGTACTCCGAATCTACCTTGTAGGCCGGAAATTTGTGGCTTGTGTGTAGAGTTGCCAACCGTACTTTATTATAAAGTATTGTACGTTATTTCGGGTTATTGTACTCTATACTTTATGCCAACAATAAAGTACATAAAATACTTTATTTAATGTGATTTGATTTGAACCACAATAAATAAATAAGAGGAGCTCGTTGGCGCAAGTGGTTAGCGCGAGAGGCTACGATAGTTGAAGTTAAGCAACTTTCGCAGTGGTTGGTCATTGGATGGGTGACCAAAAAAATTACTACCTCGAGCTCTTCGTGCTTCGGAAGGCACGTTAAGCCGTTGGTCCCGGCTGCATTTGCAGTCGTTACCCACCAATCCGCACTGGGCCTGCGTGGTGGGTCATGGCCCAATCTCCCTATTCCCTTCATAGGGAAGGTCTGTGCCCCAGCAGTGGGGACATTAATAAGCTGATGATGATGATGATGACATTAAATAAAGTAACACAGACAGACATTATGTATAATATGTCGCCCTTAGCTCATTCTTGCAACATTGTAGTGGCTGTATGGCTTTGTACTATGACCTTTCCCGTTGCTGAAAAGAACTACAGATTTTTAGTAGCTACAATTTATTTATTAAAAGTTGCTAGAAATCAACGTAAAATTTATTTTTAAGCTTACGTATAAAGTGAAATAAAAAGTACTTAGGTAGTTTTGCCACCTTTTCTTTGTCCAAATAATGTACATTGGATATTAAAACTAGAAAAAAGTACATTGTGTCCATAATAAAATACTTTTTATTTCACTTTATTCGTAGGGGCGTACGTAATACTTGATTACGTAAGCAGATTTATTACAACTATTGACCCCCCTCCCCCTCGTCAGCAAAAGTAAGCAAAGCTCTTACCCCTCCCCCCCATCCGTACGTAAACATTATTACCTATATGCATTTTTCCTTTAATGTATTCTGTTTTTTTTATTGATTCATGAGCTTTCATGAGCTTCATGAGCAGCAGTACTTAAAAAGGCTTAATCGCTGATGCTGACGTAATCACCATCTCTACCCCCCACCCCCCCATGTCATCAAAAATAAGCAAAGCTAAGACCTCCCTGCCCCCCTATAGTGCTTACATAATACTTGAACAGCCTAATTAAACCCCTAAAGCTTTATTTGTGTGGCACAAATTGGCACAAGTAGTCTCGCCCCCCAAATTCCCTTGGCAACTGCCGCCAATGGAGCGCACATAAGTAGTCTCTTTCACTCTCAAGCATAAATCAGATTACATCTCTCTCTTTAGCCTCCACTTGTCAACGGTGTCAGCAACTGTCAAAATAAGTACTTAATCACTATTTATTTTTACATTAATATCTTTCAAACTGTACCCCTAGCACGAACCGTTATCGAATTCGAATAGTTTGCAAACCAAAATGTCAATGTCAAATTTTGTATGGAAACTTGAACAGCAGCGGCACAAAGCACGTAACGAGAACTAAAAATCAGTATACATTTGACAATGACATTTCGGACTTGCAAACGATACGATTTCGATATTGTTCGTGCTAGGGGTACTGTACTTACGAATGAATTGACAAGGCTGAGAAGATGTGTCAGTGGAGCGACTGGTGGTGTATGGCAAAGTTTAGGGCGTAAGGGCGCGCGCCAAATTACCAATGGGCTGGCTGATCAGATAACTCTACGAGTGTATGAGGAAGGCCGCAGTGTGGGAGGAATGGCGGCTTAGGCGCTTTGCAGAATTTCGCCGCGAACGATAGCACAAAGTGAATCCTATACCAGTTAGAACCAGTTTATATGCAGTAACGCAGACGGCGGCGCGGGGCGGCTAGCTCAGTCCGCGCCACGCGCTTTTTAGTGATGGACTATTCACTAGAACGAACGTCCTGAACTGACTGCCTCTGCCCGTCGTTTGCTTTGTGTACGAGGCGAGGGCAGCCGCAGACATCGACCGGCAGACGCGGTTTTTATTGCTCCGCGGACAAAAAGTCCGCCCCGCCCCGTCGTCTGCAAAGCGCCTTATTGCGAAGTGCGCCACTAATCCTGATGTGACGCCCACGTCCACATTGTCCAGAGAGTAGCGCCGAAGAAGAAGTATCCCATTACACAAACCTTATGTGTTAGTACTTATTTGGAGCTAGGCAAGTGGCTTCCCGAAAACTACCTATCCGAGCTGGAACGACGAGAGTCCTCCTTCTCAAAGTTGAACTTATTTAACTATCCCAGGTTAACGTAATGGTCGACAACTTCAAATTCAAACTCAAACTCATTTTATTCAGTCTAGGCTGTTCAGGCGCGGTCGCAGCCTGAAATTTGGAAGGGGTCACTCACTATACTAATAAAAAAAACCCGGTCAAGTGCGAGTCATTATTAGAATATTGTTATACAATTTTTATCATAACGACGCATATCGATTTTGCTAGGATTACCAGAACTACGTAGTTCGGTTCCTTGTTTCTAAACTAGTACTAGATGTCATTTCCAAGTTATATTGGCCATCGTTCGTAGTTCATAAAAACACCACTAGATGTCAGCAAACTATAAATTTATCGCTGTTTGCAGATAGCTAGAAATTTCCTTTTATTATTTGGCAAATTTTTGAGACTTTTCAATTTGACCTTAGATATGAGGGGCGGGGGGGGGGGGGGGGGGAGGGGGTCAAGTGTCAGCCATAAGTACTACATCATCGAAAAAGCGGAGATATGTTAGGTACTCGCCATTGATGTTGATGCCACGTCCGTTTCAATCCAGAAGCTTGAAAATATTCTCCAACGCAGCAGTTAATGTTTTGGAGTTATAATATCTCTCTGTCTCACACCTCGTATCCAGTGGAGCCTTATCATCATCGTCATTACCATCAGCCTATTAATGTCCTCACTGCTGGGGCACAGGCCTTCCCTTTTGATGGAATAGGAGATATAGCCATGACTCACCACGCAGGCCCAGTGCGGATTGGCGGGTGCTAACGACTGCAGATGCAAGGATGGGACCAACGGCTTAACGTGCCTTCCGAAGCACGGAGGAACTCGAGATAGAAGATTTTTGGTCACCCATCCAATGACCGACCACTGCTAAAGTTGCTTAACTTCAACGATCACAGCCGAACGCCCTAACCACCCGCGCCGTCGAGCTCCTCAGTCTTATATGATATAATATTTATGATTTATATTTTTATCAGGTGTTAGTTAACGGTGTAATGTTGGACACGGCCCCTACGAGAAGAAACAGCGCGGACACACCCGCTTATTACATTGTAAGTAGAAATAGTAGTTAGCGTCGCCGCACACGGGCCACACGCCACAGCCACAAACGCCGCCACGAGAAGCTAGAAGCGGCTACTAAAGTGGCTGAAGCGCGCAACAGCGGCCGACTAAGGTAAGGGAGAGAGGGGTGGGGAATCGCGCGAGTGACGTGTGGCGGCGTTTTGTATCGGTGCATTAAGTGGCCGGTGCGGGCCACAAGAAGCGAGCAACGACGATTTGCAGCGTGTGGCGGCCACCGGCATACCGTGTGTGGCGAGTCCATATAAAATGTATGAAAACTACAAGAAATATGCCGGTGGCGGCGTTTTGAGGTTGTGGTCGGTGGCCCGTGTGCGGCGACACTTAAAATAACCTTTTTATATTTATGTCTTTTTATTATAAACCCGTCTAGATAGAGCAATTTAAATAAACCACGCAAAGAAAACTGCGCATGTGTGCGTGACTGTAACGATTGTTTGAAAGCAAGCAATGTGTGCGTGTGTAGCGACGTATAAGACCATAGAGGTATAAGAATAGAGTAGGGGAGATATGTACTCTACTGCAAGTGGAAGTGGCCGTCTAGTAGAAAGAGAAAGAAGATGAGAGAGGGCTAGCTATCTCTCTCTTGTGACGTTGCGCAGTCGTGTGATTGGTCGGTATTCATCCGTAGGTTTTTCATCCAATGCGCATTCGCGATTAGAGAGAGAAAGGCTACTATTATATAACGCATTTTCGACCAAAGTGTCGTATAAAGCGATTTTGCCTTTCCACGGTCGGATTATACATTTATTTTATACTATTTAACTTCTCAGGCGACACCGACTTCTATCACGATACGCATCAATGAATTTAGCGCTACGTACGAAGGAGTCTACCAAGCAGTGTTCGATATAAAAGGAGAGCAAGTGACCAAAACCATCCTCGAGATAAGGTATTTCTTTTTTCATTCACATCTTTGTTATTTAGTAGACTTGCAACGAATATTCGGTTACTATTCGGTATTCGGCCAATTCGGCTGCTTTTATTATATTCGGCCGAATACCGAATACTTAAAAATATATTTTGTCATAGAGAAATAATTGGTAAAATGAAAAATTTAAATCGATTGATTACGTATATATTCATTTCTGTTACATAATCATTTACGTAGTCATTGGTACATAAGACAGGTACATAATCATCTTCTGAATTATTGGAAAAATGGAGGATTCTATGTATTCGAATTATTGAGTTAATCAAAATTTAGAAGGGTAAGGGTTCTCATTTCTTTTATAATAATTTATTAAGTAGTCATTGGTATATAAAACAGGTGCATAATAATTAAATCATTTTCTGTATTAAACAAGTTAATAGTTTTTAATTCATTCAGTCATGTGATGAATGGTTACATAATAGCAATAATTTAAAGTTTCGCGCGTTTTTGGCCATATCTCAAAAGTTGGTTTTGTCATTTAGCCGCATTTTAGCTTGAGGACGGCAGATTAGAAAAAACAAAGGAGCGCGAAAAGAGTCTACAAGTTTTTGGATCTAAAATCTAGCCGAATACTTTTGCCTAATATTCGGCTATTCGGTCAGGGGCCTCGCCGAATATTCGGTATTCGGTATACTGCCGAATATACTATTCGTTGCAAGTCTATTATTTAGGTACATGATAAGTTGATGACGGATTATGTTATAGTGTGATGTAGAGAATCCGATAGTTGGCAGAGTAGGCCCATCAGAATCTGAGGCCGCGTCGAGATGCAGCCAGGGAGATCGAATGGGCGGGAAAGAGAGAGAAGAGGACGGTTTATTCAAAAAAAAAACAAAATTCAAATATCATTTATTTAGTTAAGGCTTTTACAAGCACATGTGAAAGTCGAAAACTACGCCGTCGGTTTGCAAAACCGGTAAGAAACTCAGCAAGGGCGGCTTTTTTCACCCTGTTTTATTTCAAACAGTGTCGTCAAATACAAAGCTGACATCAAACTTGCAAACATGTGTTGAGGTCAACTTCCATCACATAATGGCAAATAGGTAACAATAGTCATTCAACGGATTTATTAACAATAATTGTAAAGAAAAGTCCTAAAATTGCAAGAAACAATCTTTAAAACAAATTGAACAAGTATTAGTGTCGCCGCACACGGGCCACACGCCACAGCCACAAACGCCGCCACGAGAAGCTGAAGTGGCTGAAGCGCGCGACAGCGGCCGACTAAGGTAAGGAAGAGAGGAGTGGGGAATCGCGCGAGTGACGTGTGTCGGCGTTTTGTATCGGCGCATTAAGTGGCCGGTGCGGGCCACAAGAAGCGAGCAACGACGATTTGTAGCGTGTGGCGGCCACCGGCGTACCGTGTGTGGCGAGTCCATATAAAATGTATGAAAACTACAAGAAATATGCCAGTGGCGGCGTTTTGTTGTTGTGGTCGGTGGCCCGTGTGCACCCCTTGCTCGACAAGTAAATGAATGCTGGGTAAGGAGCTTGACCGATTAGAAATTAAAAGTAGTTTCTTAAATTATGTGAGATGCAAAATACATGTACGAGTAACATAATAGCTTCCTTAGCTTTGTAATCATATGTACAGACAGTCACACTGCCGTCTTCAAACCAAAGTGCGGCTAAGTGGCATGTGGTCGATTTTGCAGTCTTAAATTGCATCTTATACAGTTTTTAATTCTCTATCGATCTGTCATTAACAAGTATTCATATCTTTTATAGATTAAGTCAAAAAATCCGTCATGTGATGAATGGTTACAAAATAGCAATAATTTAAAGTTAACACGCCGTTTTTTGGCCATATCTTAAAAGTTGGTTTTGTCATTTAGCCGCCTTTTAGCTTGAGGACGGCAGCACAGGACGAGCCACCAAAAGCCTTCAAATTTTTTCAGCTGACTTTGAGCTTTACGCTGCTTAATATAAGATTTACAATATTTTAGCAAAAAATTGACAGCTTGTGGCAACCCGATCTGTGACCCGACGTTTGGACTTCTGTACATGACTGTCAAGTTTAGGTTAGTAAGCATTTAAATTAACAGAGGCATGCACCGTTCGTTCGGTCCAGACATGTGAAAAGACAATGATAGAATGACGAAACAGATATTTATATTGAGCCGCCTATGTTGGCCAAGCTCAATACCAACGTATAGACAGCATATTTGTCTTGGCTTGTCATCACTCGGTGTCGCTTGCCTGATTCAAGTTATTTGCCTAGTAAATCCCATCTCTTCTTAATAGCTCCCCGTACCCCTTTTAATGGACTCACTCGATTTCTTAGGCCCGTATTACAGAATGATAACTAAGTGTTGATCTTTACTTGAGTACAGTTAGAAAGGGATGTCGCTATGTGCTATACAGAGCGTCCCACGGCTACCTCACACGGAGGGAAAGTATATTAAATATTAAAGATAGGATATTTTACTGAAAGAAGACATCATTTCATTTTTGATTATAATTAGAACTGCATTCACAGATTTTTTAAAAATCGACTGCTGCAACTGGGAATCTAACTCGTGAAATTTCGAAAAAAAAATACGACATATTTTATGATAACTATCGAAAGGGTTTATCATAAACATTATTTTTTACTAATTAACATAGCATTTTAAATGAAAGGAATGTATTATTACGTGATAAAAAGAATAAAGTGATATACAAACTGTAGTACGTATGCATTTCTTTTTGTGCTCAGGTACAATGCGATTGGCTGAAATTTGTAAAAATAATAATTCGAAAATAGAACACATACATTTTCAAGCGTCTGTACCCCTAGCACGAACCATTATCGAATTCGAATAGTTTGCGAGTGTGAAATTTCAATGTCTAATTTTGTATGGAAACTTATACAGCAGCACCACAAAGTACGTAACGAGAACTAAAAATCAGTACACATTTGACAATGACATTTCGCACTCGAACACTATTCGAATTTAATATTGGTTCGTGCTAAGGGTACTGTTCTTTTTTTGTGTTTTTCATTTTAGTTAAAAACCCTGTTCTCTTAATACATTTTTTTACAAAGGGAATCTAAATACGGAAAGATATTTAGTAATACTTAATATTTTAAGAGGTGAGATCAATAATCTTCCTGATGCAAATCGACGAAATCTCATTTTTCAGAAAAATGGGACTCATAACAGTAGGAGAACTGCCGAGTTTCTTAATGAACACTTTCCTTCCTGGATCGGTTCTTATGGACAAATAAGATGGCCAGCGAGATCCCCAGATCTTACCCCACTGGACTTTTTTTGTGGGGTTATTAACAGATGTAGTATACAAGAACCGGTAAGACAGTGTGCAGGAGTTACAAAATAACTCAGACGTATTATTACAAACATTCATCACGCAAAGATAAGAAATGGACAGGCAGAGAAAACATTAATAGACTGAGAATTTGCATACAACAAATTGGATCACATTTTGAATATTTGATACATTTCGTTTTTTATTACTTTTTGTTTAATAATTTTAATAAAATGTGTAATTTTATGACTTTTCTTTCATTTAAAATGCATGTAGTGTTTTTTTTTCGAAATTTCATAAGTTATAGCAGGCGATTTTATTAAAAAATTGTGAATGCAGTTCTAGTTATAATTAAAAATAAAATGATGTCTTCTTTCGGTAAAATATCCTACCTCCAATATTTAATATACTTTCCCTCCGTGTGAGGTACCCGTGGGACGCCCTGTATATAGCGACATCCCTTTCTAACTATGCTCAAGACTGGATCAATCACTGAGAATCTTTCTGTTATACAGGCCTTAGAGTGAGAGCAAACACCCATTCAACATCTCCCTTCGTCTGCTCCCTGGTCTACACCAAAGCGAAGCGAGGGCATTAAACTGTATTACATTGTATAAGCATTAATATAGTTTTCAATCTCAACAGGAATCCCCATGACAAATCTGCTGCCCCGGATCACGGTACTCCGGGTGACCAAATAACTACTGTTGCTACTCCCGGTGAAATCACAACTGTTCTTCCGGGTAGCAGTACTGCGATTGAGACTTCTACTGAGGCTGCGGAGGGTTCTGAGAGTACTACTGCGTCTGAGCAGGGTTCTGCGAGTACTACTGCGCCTGAGCAGGGTTCTGCGAGTACAACTGCGCCTGAACAGGGTTCTGCGAGTAGTACTGAGGCTGAGCAGGATTCTACTAGTGAGCCTACTACTGCTGCTGCTGAGTGTAAATATTTTATCTGTATTCCTCCTTAAGCATTAACCTGTATGACATTCTAAAACATATTGTTTAGGATCGTTTTGATATTCTAAGTGTCAGGTATGCTTTGCTAATCAACACTAGGAATGCAAAGTCTTTATATCGACTTTTATCGAATTATATCGTAGTCGGTTAAATATCGATACCCGATATATCGACCATGCTAACGCGATATTGCCTATTCAAAATGTCGATATTATTAGCACCTTTCTTTATAGCTCTGTAATAAGTGGGTTTGTTTTTGCAGTAAATTTTTACAATATTGATATTTTATCGACAATTTAGTCGAAGTCAAAATATCGATATCTGATACATCGATCATATCAACGCTATATTTTCAATATCATTTGTAGCCGTAGCAGTGGCCTCTGTTTTGCCAACAAAACTGTAAATTTTTGTAATGAATTGTCAAAACAAAGGCTATTTAGGTGCCTTAAATCTTTATAAATATTTTGTTTAGAATAATTATTTTCTTACAAAACACTACCGCTTTGATGCCTCTCACGCAAATAAAAATCGACAAACTACTCGTATCAAGATCTCACCAAAAAGAATTCACACCCAATTAAGATTTTAGTGTTTAAGGCTATTGCAAATTTAAAACAAAAGTTATTACATAAAATAATTAATATAAAAAATTTGCTTTCCGAAAATAAATTTTGGGTTTTATCGATATCCATTATTTTAACATATCGATATTTTGGTGATTTTTCGATATATCATGCCAACACTATTCGACACCAAATTGGGACTGTTGGTCGCTCAGGCTACTGGGAGGTAGTACCTTCTAGAAAGTTACCAGAACTGAGGATTATCGAGTACTCCCCCTCTCTTCGGACTTCAGATAAACCAATCAAATCCCAGCGTAATTTACTCATAGCTTCTTCCAACTCCTAAGGTGCGCCTGTTCGAGGTTGCTAGGCTGAATCATCATAGGTAGCCAGTGCCGGATCTTACCCAGGGATTCCTTAGTACACTCTTCTAGTCATCACCATCCTCAGCCTATTAATGTCCCCACTGCTGGGGCACAGGCCTTCCCAATGGATGGATAGGGATTGGGCCATGTCTCACCACTCGGGCCCAGTGCAGATTGGCGGGTGCTAACGACTGCAGGTGCAGGCGGGATGGCTTAACGTGCCTTCCGAAGCACTGAGGAACTCGAGATAGAAGATTTTCGGTCACCCATCCAATGACCGACCACTGCAAACTTGCTTAACTTCAACGATTGCAGCTGAACGCACTAAACACCTGCGCCATCGAGTTGCCCACTCTTCTAGTAGCAAAACCTTTCAAGTCGAAGACTAGAAACTATCAATGAATGTAGAACAACACATAGTTGTAACCAGCAAGTAAAATAAAATCATAAAGGACAATGGGCAAAACACCCAGCTCCGCCAACAATGTAATTAGTATGAATCGATTGATCTATGAAAAACTAGCCTTTTTTATTATGACACCGAAAATAAATATCCTGGGAGTCAAAAGATATGACACCGTAAAAAATATCTTGGTAGTCAATAGATATGACACATGGGCATTTTTAAGTAGCTGAATAAATTCATTTTAAAGTACCTTCATTTTATATTATTAGTAATCATAATAATATGCCACAGGTATCGTACTATACAACCAGATATACGACAAAGCCGGCCGACCATCCTGCGCTTGCTCTTACTGAGACATTTCAAAACGGTTTACGGATGCTAAAGGACTTGCAGTTAAAATACAAATAGTCAACTTGCCTTACTGTTGTGATTGTGCGTTCCCTACTACTTGATTGATTTTTATCTAACACGCTTTGGACATTGGAACACGATTATCGGTTTTGTCAATTAGTATGGATGAACTGGAATCATGTGTTCTCCGAAGCGTGGGCAAGTTTTTGTAATCTGTGGTCGCTCCGTTTTACATAGAAGACAATTTACTATAACGAACAGAATGTTTAAAAAAAACCCAACCCTCGCGGGGATTTTTGGATTTACTCTAGCGCGGCAGAATAACATAAGGGGGCACCCTTGTACCTTGTGAAGTACTCCCATAATTCCTGAGCACCCTATGTTGGGTCGATCTAACTAACTAAAATAATCCCTTGTTTCATTAGTGTTCGTCCGTTATAGTACTTGAAAATATTTAACTTAAAATAACTAAAGACCCCGGGATGGAATTTGATGCGCTTTAGCACAGATGATCTTGACTATAATACCTTTCAAACAAATGTAGTTTAAGCCCTGGCGGACGTGGGTGCAGCGTCCATACATTTTGGCCAATGTCCTTTTATGCTACCGTGGGCCTGACGGTCGTGTCGAATTTTTCCTAGCCTTAGGCTCCCGTCTGCTGCGTGTATTTTTTCTAGTAAACTTTTCTTTAGATTTAAACATCTAGCAGGTTAATGCTAAAAAAATAAAAACTATCATAAATTTTGTTTTTTTTTTCAGGATCTGAATCTTAGACTTGCTCCGTTCGCAATTTGCACCAGTAAATTTATTATTAACTATAAATCAGCAATTGTTATAAGTAAGAAGAAAACTATTATGTAAGTTAATAAAATTGTAGTATCAGTCATTCATTTAAGGTGTTGTTTGATTTTTATCATTGCCTTTTATCAGAGCCGTTTTTGACCTATTGGAGGCCCTGGGCATATAAGGATAATGGGGCCCCTATGACTTCCGTTTGGTGATTTAACAGGAATTAAGGACTTTGTATTTGATTTGAGGGCTTGCCCAAAGTGCCCAATGGGAAAGACGAATCTGCCTGTTATTTTATATTACTTATTAAGAAATTTGCGTATACAGCACAGAACACACTTCCAGCTAATAGATAATAGCCAATCAAACGACGCCACATCAAACAATCGAACCAATCAGCGCTTACACCTGAGAGCAAAGACGTAATCAGAACCAAGTTTCACTGAAGTTTTGAAAATTTGCTCACACATAACTATTACGCGCGCCTGCCCCGCCCGCAAGGCCCTTTCAAAATCTTCCTGTGTTCTGTGGTATACAGGGCCTGACCCAAGGGGGGGAGGGGGCGAGCCAAATTATGGGCGGCAAAATTTACTTAGGGTCAGCCGTAAAGTACGTCACTAAAAGGCGGCAAAAACTTGCCCGGGGCGGCAAAATTTCTGTATCAGGCCCTGGTGGTACAGTAATAGCGATTCGCCCCAGGTTGTTCGGTGAACGTTATTTTAACACGATACGCGCGATCTTACGTAGGTATTCGTAGTTATATTTACTTTAGTATTTTCTCATAGGGAGTAATAAAAATTAGTGTCCCACTCCTCCTTTAGACCAGGGTTGATAATTTTAAAAATGGTGAAAAGTGAAAAAAAAATATAGTAGGATGAAACCCATTAGAAAAGGTAGAGAATATAACAAAAATGAAAGGAAAAATCAATTACGGGCGATCTGAGGTCGGGAAGGGGGAGGGGGTGAGTTTTTAAGGGTAAAAAATGGTTAATCTCGATTTCCGGTAAAACTGCAAGTCCTATGAAAAAAAGTTAAATGGCAAAGTTGTAGGTAATAAAAATATCTACAACTTTTGTATCGATCCTTTTTTCACATAACCTCAAAATGCGAATAACCGAGTTTTTGGTTTTTGATTTTTATTTTTTGCAAAAAAAAATATTTTTTCACGAAATTTGCTGAAAACTTACCTTTGTATGTCCCAAACATACAGTATTTTTTTTGATTTAAAATATTCATTTTTTCACCTTATTTTGACTTAATATCGAAAAAGCACCCTAATTTTCAATCGAAAATTCTCACGTCAAAATATCTGATTTTTTTAAAAAGTTGGGGTGTTTTTTGTTTGTTGAAATCTCTACTTTCTGATGGTATAAAAAAAATATACACTACTATGATAAATGTTCTCAGAAACTGCAAACTACTACTTCTCCCACATAATTCGTCAACTTTAGTTTTTTTACTTCGTCACAATATGGCGCCTAGTTGTCCCCATATTTATTTTGATTACTATCATATCTTTAGTAGCACTCCCATGATTAAGACGAATCGATTGAAGTATGAATCATCAAAATCGGTGCAGGCGTTTGGTCTCTAGTGTGTCACGAAGGAACATACACATAAAGACTTAAACACCCTGTCTGCGCGTCGCGTTTCGCACTCTTGCGTTAAAGATAAAAATGGGAATACTAATTTGAATTTCGAAATTACTTTAAAAATCGTAAATGTAACAGAAACTCTTTCGATGTCTTGACATTAAAATTTGTTTTTAATATTAGACAAATCCTTAGTCTATGAGCAAAACTCCAAATGTATCGTCAACATTATGTCATGGAGAGGCGGCAAAATATGTCACGTCAAATTAGATTGTTCCATGGAGGTTAGACATAAGGACAACGATCGCTGTAGAAAATAATTTCCCAGAAATATAGACAAAATAAGTGAGGCGCTACGATCGCTAAGTTGTATCAATAAATATTGTACAAAATTCAACTAACTTCATCTACTTGTACTCATAAACAGCTAACTTCACAGATACTACTTACCGACGGCAGCGCTAGTGGCTGAAAAATGAACTATAAATTCTACAAATTTGAAGGGCAGGCGGGCTAATGCTATAGTACGTAGCGATCGTTCTCTCTCTAACCTCTATGGATTGTTCTGAAAATTACAAGTTTGTTTCCCGGGATAAGTACGTACATTGAAGCGAAATTCTTTATTTAGCAATGGTTGCAAGTAAATAAGTTTCAAGTGGGTAGTGAATCAAATTGGTTGATTGTAATTACCTATGTATCAATTTGATTCAATTACGGGTAACGATATCGAGTTAATAAGCGTTTGATTTGAACATAGTTGCGAATTATTAAAAAAGACGAAGATTGTTAGCATTTTATATAGGTACCTTTAATGAAGTATTTGGCCACGCATCAGAGCTAAACAACGATTAGTGGAAAATGTTGCTTATTCTGCTATTTGGTGAGAAAATATAAAATTATACGAATATTATGTACATACATGTATACATATATATCATCATCATCATCATCAGCCTATTAATGTCCCCACTGCTGGGGCACAGGCCTTCCCTACGGATGGAATAGGGAGATTGGGCCATGGCCCACCACGCGGGCCCAGTGCGGATTGGCGGGTGCTAACGACTGCAGATGCAGCCGGGACCAACGGCTTAACGTGCCTTCCGAAGCACGGAGGAACTCAAGATAGTAAATTTTTGGTCACCCATCCAATGACCGACCACTGCGAAAGTTGCTTAACTTCAGCGATTGCAGCGAAACGCGCTAACCACTTGCGCCATCGAGATCCTCTGACTTACTTACCCATCTATAGGAAACATTCTGGTAGTAAGTATTTATTTTTGTTCTAACATATCGAGCCCTTACCGCCAAATTATCGTAAGCGACATTCGCCAAATTATCGTAAGCGACACTTTTGTTGAAATGCGTTTTTTGTGGAAACTAATATTTTAAACCGTAACGGACCCATCTCTGTTGATATTTCCCTCCAAAAGAACACCGTAATAATATAATAGAGGGAAGAATAGAGGGAAATATCAACAGAGATGGGTCCGTTACGGTTTAAAATATTAGTTTCCACAAAAAACGCATTTCGACAAAAGTGTCGCTTACGATAATTTGGCGAGTGTCGCTTACGATAATTTGGCGGTAAGGGCTCGATATGGATGGCAAAAAAGACACGGTCAAAGTGGCCTATGGGCGCCTAAAACGCTAGGAGAATCACTGCCGTTGCTTTCCTTTTAAAAACTTCTTCATACCTAACTTGACAAGGTATTCCGTCAGGATAACTTAAACAAGAAGCTAATTCCACAGCTAAATCAATCTCAAATGAATCATTTACCGATAACCCAATAAGTAACATGTCATAAGCATAAGTCGTTCTTAGTATTCTAATAATAAGACCAGCTTATTAAAAAAATAAAGTGAAAACTACCAATTTTCATAAACATTTCCAGCTTTACTCGCAAAAAATGCTGCCGTCTCCCACACGAACCAGACCGAAGTATTGGAAGCTCTCAAATTCTTGGAATCAGTCATTAACAAAAATGTAGTCGACGAGATTACCGTTAATCCGATGCGGAAGCCAGATATACTGAACGTTATACACAATTTGCACCCAGACTTGCTCAGTAGACCGGCGGATAATGTTAATGCCAACGATCACACTCTACCACTTCTTGAATCTAGAGAGATCATTGAAAATCTCGACAATGATATCGGAGAAGAAGAGGAGAACAGAAGATTCTTGACCTGGCTGAGAAATCTCTTCAACGGTAACAGTGAAAGTAATAACAAACACAAGAAGAAGGACATAATTAAAAGCAAACATAAAAAATACAACGGCCGCACTTCGAAAAAGAAATCGAAAGGTGATAAATTAGAAACCAGAAGATTGATCAATTGGTTCCAACACCTCGTGTCCGCAACAAAAACCAGTACAACAACACTCAATCCAACTGCAACAGCTAATTCAAACGTTGACGCCACAAGAGATGCAAAAGAAAATGAAAACTGCTTAGAAAACAATCTAACACGAATTTTAGATAAACTGAATAATGTTTTGGAGAAGTTTAACGAAAACTTGGACAGACATAATGAAAGAGTAAACAAAAGTATGGGTTTCGTTGTCCTTAAACTGCCTCTCAAAGGTAATCCTGATGTTGAACCTACACGTGGCTACTCAAGACGAAAAAGAGAAGTCAAGGATTCCCCTAAAGCTGTGAATAAAACAGAAAAATCCACTGCAATACCTAACTTGAGATCATTGAACACTTCACCAATTATCAGAGTTAACGAAATTGATAGCGGTATTGGGGAGGCACCTGATAATGCTAATAAAAGAGCCGTAGATAGCGCACATGAATTGAAAGACAATTTAATTAGGTTTGTAGCTGAAACTTTTAAAGAGATTAAACTTAAGATTGCACCTCTGAAACCAGTTAAAGATACATATTCCGCTGATGATTCTTACATTATAGGATATATTGTAGCATGCATAGACACTCTCGAAGTTACCTTGACTAAATTGATGGCTGAAATGGAATCGAAAAAGCACAAAGTTAACGAAAATCAATTGATGGAGCTATTTAAGAGACTGAATACGTCAAGAACGGTCATAGGAAAACTCATGGATTCCTTACAGAAGTACACCAAGCAGGAGAATACTTATTTCACCAATATGATAACGTAATTTAGCTCTAATAAAGTTGTGTAACCTTTTTATTGGTACGTTTAACTTTTTTCAACATATTTGATCAAAAAATACATTTACGGAGGTTGTTGATTCTTGCGAAGTTTATCCCTATTTAGTTTAGTCTGCGTGATTCAGTAATAAACATATAAAGGACATCGACGAAATCGGCCCTAACATGCCCAAAAGAATGTCCTTCACTATTATTTTTTTAATTTATTAGCAATTAATCACAGTATTAGTATATTTAAACAGATTGTCCAATCTGTTTAAATAATAAAAGTTCTTTAACTAAATATTACACTCCGTTCATCCTAACTTGTCATATTTGGTAAGCAATCTTGGCACCCCTTTTTATTGAAAATACAGCATTAAAAATCAACTGATAACTGGATTCAATAGGTTTCAGTCTATAATAACGATTTATTTTAATAGTTTATTGGCTTCGTTATGATATTATTTTTAAATTGGTTATTTTTGTTAAAAAGTTGTGCCAAAATTGTTTAACTTAATAAATACAATATAGGCGACCATAATGTGTATTTATCAACATATGAATAGAACTAGTTACCTTAGTTAATCCTTAGTTAATAATAGTTGTCACTCGTATTGATATTATATTTATAAAAAGATTATTTCTGAAATTATGTAAAGATAGTTTATATTCCCATCCCATATACTTAATATCTGTTTATTTTTATGAAAATCATAATGATAATCAGGTACATATAGGGCTGCCATCTCTAAGATGTGGCAACCAGGACAAGACGCGTGATAACCCCGGATTTTGGAGCCAAGAACGCGGACAGACCAATAAAAAAAAGTTAAAAATGTCACAAATCAACTTTTTTTATGTTGATGTAGGCAAAACAGCTAGAAGTCCACCTCATAATAAGTGGTCACTGCTGTCAATGGACACTTGCAGCAACAAGGGCCACTCATGTGTTGCCGGCTCTGAACGAAAAGGTTCATCCGCCTCTTTAAGATTACCATCATATATCATAGCTATTAAAAAAAATACTGAGGCAAGTTCGTTCCAGATCTTACTGGTACGCAAGAGAAAGGAACACATGGTGCTCGAACGCCAGGCGTCCAGATGGTGGGCGTTAAACTTCTCTGCGGTGTGTGGTGCTGTGGAGAAACTTGGCCACTGGCATCCGGTTGAATAATTCGGACACTCTCCGTTGTATAGACTTTACAACACGCAGTTGCATTCTTGTGCGTGTTGTACCGTCTGCGCATGCTAAGGGGTTGCAACGCGTCAGTGAGCTCTGGATCATCGATAAGTCAAACTGTCCGCTTTTGTATCCGGTCAAGAGGAAGGAGCTGGTATTGGGGTGCTGCAGCCCAGAGAACCAGTGCTTTGTAAAGTAACACCCGATATTTAGGCTTGAGGTTCTTACTAGACCTATTAAGCACCCAAGCTTTTTCACACACACTTGTGTCTTTGCTGGGTTAATCCAATTAAGTCTTGTTGGCTTCAATTTGAGACTTGATCCAGTATCATCTCAATCTCGGACACAAGTCTGTCTTCATACCCTTCTTCCATCCGAGGGATGTTTGACCGACCAGTGTAAAAAGTGTCAGTGCTGTCATCCACATAGCAACGAATGCTGTTATTGCGTACAGCGTGAGAGACAGACCTGGGGGCCATTGGCCTAACGTAAATGCTTTGGAAAACGCTAACGCTTACGATTTCATTTTGTTATTTTCTAACCGCCTGAGGTTTTCAAATGCCTCGCGCTCTTTTTTTTTCTTTTGCATTATTAATAACAATATCAAAGAAAATAATAATAAATAATAAATATTACCAACACTTACACCAATTAGCCTAGCCCCAAAGTAAGCACTGCAAGGCTTGTGTTATGGGATGCTAGGGTAACGGATAGAATACATATACTGTACATATATATATAAGTATATTTATATAGAAACACTAAACATCCATGACTGGAGTACAAATGCTCGTATTCATCACACAAATATCTGCCCCCACCGGGATTCGAACCCGGGACCTCTCGAGTCGGTGACACCATGAAACCCGGCGTACAAACCACTCGGCCACGGAGGTCGTCATGAAAAATGAGAGTGAGGTATTTGAAAACCTTCGGCGGTCAGAAATAACAAAATGAAATCGAAAGCGCTAGCGTTTTCCAAAGCATTTACGTTAAGCGAAGGGCCCCCTGATCTTTGAAGAGAAAAGATTTATTTATTTTCAAAGACATTTAAATTGACGGATTAGTTGGCAACCCAAAACAGGAAATTTTTAAACCCGGACTACAAATGAAACCCCGCCCGGACGCTCCCCGGACGCCCCGTAAACTAGGACAAATCCGGGGAAACCCGGACGGATGGCAGCCCTAGGTACATACATTAATACCGATAGTAAAATATAGAAACAGGTTAATGGAAAGACTTTGAACATTTCATTTGCAAAGAAATCTATTATTACAACAGGTAGGTATAGGTAACATATAGGTGCCAACTACCAACACTCATAAATCAATATGAATATAAGCATTTATTATTTTTATTATTAATTGCATTTTATGTTCATTTAATGCATATTATTTAAGTGCTTACATAGAGGTTAACACTTAATCTATACAGAATATATAAAGTGCACACCGTTTACGGTTAAGTATAATAATTATGACCTCCAAATTTAATACATTCTGTAGTAGGCCACGGTTCCTCAAGTTGTCCGTACCCCAACAAATGCCTAATGAGGGCTATCGCGTCTGAAACCGCCGCTAGAGGCGCTTGTGTTGCGTGAGGTCTCCGAAATGTCAAATGTTATAGCTTGCGGGTTGACTACGCGGTTTTTTTCTAATTAAAATAATAGTTGTGAATATTTGGTAATAAATCAGACTTATTATGGCAAATATGAGTTACGTGTCAATGATTGTCAGTTATTTAAAAGCGGAGCTAAGAAAAAATATTGTCCTTCTTTTTTCCGAACAAAACGGGACTGCGCAACACTGTGGCATGGGCGATTATGTTTAAGATACGATTCTTTTGTATTAAAATGTAAACTTTGATATCACGAGCGTGTTTACTAACTTTAAAAGTTACACTTCAGGACCTCACTCAACAGTGGCGCCATCTGGTGAGACAAAAAACGATAGCCCTCATTATAGTTTATGAATGATTCCGAACACAACTAGCATTTTCTCATTGCTGTGCGTTCTAGCGCATTCAATGTATCGGGAACGAGCCATTACTATCCAATTAATATATAAATGTGAAAAGACATTTCCTTTCACATTTATATTAATTGGATAGTATATAGGATTGTTTCACTATCAAACCAGCGTGGAAAATAAAAGTACTTAATGAAAAACAAATAATTTGTAGTAAAATTTTATTCAACATCAGTCTATAAGATTATCCTTACTAGTAAGTAAGTAAACTTATCTAGGTCTATATAAATATACATGTAAAAGTGGTGTCGATTCTGGCATGATTCTCTAAACTTAAAACTAAATTTAACATCAGTCTCTCCTTTTCAATCTGTATAGAGAATGACAGAGATACATCAAATTTAAGTTTAGGTTTAGAGATAATGTCAGAATCGACATCAGTATGTACTTTTACAAACAAAACCGTATAAAGTAACATCTTACTTAAACAACAATTAAGCTAACTCTAATTAAAGTACAGTCTAAGAAATGTTGAGCCCACCGTTTACATGCAAATAAACTCATTGGTTATTAGTGGTACTAATTTTTACCTGGACTTCAGAATTTATAGAATTAAAAAAAAGAATCAGAAATATTAATTTTACTTTTATTTTAAGCAGTTAACTGCTAGATGTTTAAAAAAATGTTTTTTTTTCTAGAAGTAATTGCCTTGCAGCCTTAGAAATACTAGAGAAAATTCGACACGGCCACCAGGGCCGCGGTAACATAATAGTCAGTGCATTCGCCCGTGGATTTTTTTCTAAATAAAAAATCTTTAGATTTAAATGTCCTATGTATTAATCTAGGCCATGGTTTTTCTGTGTACTAAACTACAGTCAAAATATCGGAAGTCTTTTCAGCATGACTATTGCGCAATTTGTCTGTAATTTTGCTTAAGAACTTTGCCGCTACGTATTTGCTCCAGAAAAAGCGGACTCCCTACTTCATCGACTGTACGTTACTACATAAACCTAAGCGCTCTTATGACACCTCGCGCACTAGACGGCCACGACCACGACCATTCGTCGCAACGACCAGGTTAACTAAAGTTGGCCGTTGTAGCCAAGTGCGCGACGTTAGTAGGGTTTCTATAATTAATCTGGTCGTTGCAGCCAATGGCCGTGGTCGTGGTCGTCTTGTGCGCGAGGCGCCTAACACTAACAAAACTTATAGATATCAACAGCAAATCAAGAAAACTCAGCAATTGCATAAGACAAAGAATCTTGTGTATAGGTAAACCGCTTAACCTATACACAAGATTCAAGATTCACACAAGAGACCTCGCCTGCGGGGTACAGGGTGAGGGGGAGGGGGAGAACAGGGGCACCGTAAGTAGGATTGCCAGATGGCCGGGATTTCCGGGATTGTCCCAGAATTTTGCGTGCTGTCCTGTGTCCAGTAATTACATCCTATTGTCCCGAATTCCGATAATGTGCTAGTTTCGTAATAAAATAAACTAATGACGAACGACACCTGCTTAATGTTTTAATTATGGGGGGTGATGAGGGGTTGGATTTGATGCGTTATTTTTTCAGCGAGGGGTGCAAATGTCCGGGAACTGATAAGCCAGCATATGGCAAACACCTGCTTGATGTTTTAATTCTATTCTTCATTCATTTCATTCGCTTTATTTTTTCAGGGGGGGGGGGGGGGTGCAAAAGTCCCGGAATTGATAAGCTACGAGCAAGGGTGGATTCAGCTTTGGCACCAGGGGGGGGGGGTCATATAGTCGTGGTCAAGTCACAGTGGGTACAGATTATGAAGTATAGATTGTGAAGTGGGTACAGATGGACCCAGCCCAGGGGGGGGGGGGGGTCATGACCACCATATACGATATTGATAAGCGGAAATTCTAGCCGTGTGAGGTGCGGGCGGCGGGCGCTTGTAATTTTGACAAGAATGTGCCAACCGCCAGCACCTCTCACAGCCCCTTCTCTTTACCCCACCGCTTAACTGAGTCATGAGTCATCGCCTGTGGGGATGACTCATGACTCAGTTAAGCGGTCTACCTATAGTGCTGAACATAACGTCGATATCATCCTTGATCTGCTGTTAATTGTACTTTTAGTTGCATTAAACATAAGCCTAGCCTCTTTACAACAGATTCTACTCGTGTAGTAGACAGCGGCTGATTCTGGCATGATACTCAGAACCCAAAATTAAAGGCAACAGTTAAGTAACACTTGCTTTTTAAGTGAAACTTCTTTTCGGGGTGCAAATGGAAAAATCCTATGGAAAAGATGGATCGGAAACACGTCACCATCGTCTATACACGACTATATACAGGGCGTCCCACGGCTACCTCACACGGAGGGAAAGTATATTAAATATTGAAGATAGGATATTTTATTATACTCTTTATTGCATCATATAGTTAAAACATATAGTCAAATACATAGTAAGCAAAGATGGGCTTATCTCTAAAAGAGATCTCTTCCAGCCAACCTAGGTGGTGCCGGAGATTCAAAACTTAGCGGGAAACAGAAAGTGCAATAAAAAATAAACTAAAAATAATTTATTACTACTGTATTTTACTGAGAGAGGACATCATTTTATTTTTAAAAAGACAACTTAACAAAAAAGCACGACATATTTTATGATAACCATCGAAAGGATTAATCATAAAATATGTCGTGTTTTTTTTCGAACTTTCACGAGTTTGATTCCCAGTTGTAACAGGCGATTTAAAAAAAAAACTGTGTTTGCAATTCTAGGTATTATTAAAAATAAAATGATGTCTTCTTTCAGTAAAATATCCTATCTTCAATATTTAATATACTTTCCGTCTGTGTGAGATTGCCGTGTACGCCCTGTATATATATGAGTGATGCGTGTGCTACTCCATTCCCCTACGCCTTATGCACCGCCTAATCAGGCGCGGTCCGAAGGGGGGGGGGGGGTCATAGGGGACATGCCCCCCCCCAAAATCTAAGGTCATTCTTGACATTTGGTACAAAGTAACGACTTATAGTACCTACAGATAAAGAAAAAATTGCGAAAACCGTGAACTTTAGTTTTTTAGTTACATCATAATATAATAAAAAATATTTTTGAAAATTCAGGTGTATACGGAACCCTCGGTGCGCGAGTTCGACTCGCTCTTGGCCGGTTTTTTTTATTAGTGTAATGAGTGACCCCCTCCAAAATTTCAGGCTGCGACCGCGCCTGCGCCTAATATTGTTAGATTATTTAAGAAAAGAAGTTTCGCTTCAGATGTGTGGTCTGTGCACACCAATTTTCCCTTTTATTATTAAGGGATTAGAAATGCAACGATTTAACGCAATAAAAGCCTTCCATCACGGCACTTAACTTGGCTATTCGCATTTGCTATTTGTTAACTTGACAAGAGTCTGTCTGTATCATCACCAAATAGAATTTTGTGGTATCATGCTTTGTAAGGAATGAAAAGGACAGACTGATATCAAGTTTGCAAATAGCAAACTTGAAGTGACTGCATCAAAGTATTAACAATGAGGACCACTACTAGATCAGCAAATCTACTAAAAATCACTAATATTTTTAAATCATCGAAATCGGTTCATTCGTTGCGATTTCATAACTAATTTTATGGTAGCCAATATTCACCGGCGGCCGAAACGTGTGACGTCACAGAGCTCGATCGTGGTTCACTCCGGTCGAACTTTAGTAACGTCTCTACGTTCGCTCGCGCCAGATCGCTGGAGCTCTGTGACGTCACAGTCACCACGCGGCCAGTCGAAAATTCGTTTAGTAATTTGGTCATAATTTCGTCAATATTTGTTGTAGAACGGAAGTTTAACCACTGTATTTTATGGAACCCTTAGCTCTATAAATCTACATTCTCAACTAAAATCGTTACGGATCCTCATTGCGAATAGCGGTCGAGGGTGGAATTCTTATTTTTTTTTATTTCAATACTATGACTTGTTTGAAGGCTGGAGTATCGTATTCAGCACTACTGATGACGCATTCACTTTACTGCATCTAAAAACAAGTAATAAAACACTCCATTTATGAAATGTTAAGGGTATAGATATCGTAAGTAGGACAATTATGATAAGTCTAATTATCGCGATAATCCTAGGGATTTTGCGGAAAACACGGATAATTAGAAATTGGTGATGTGTCCCCGCACACGGGCCACCGACCACAACCACAAAACGCCGCCACCGGCCTATTTCTTGTAGTTTTCATACATTTTATATGGACTCGCCGCACACGGTACGCCGGTGGCCGCCACACGCTACAAATCGTCGTTGCTCGCTTCTTGTGGCCCGCACCGGCCACTTAATGCGGCGATACAAAACGCCGCCACACGTCACTCGCGCGATTCCCCACCCCTCTCTCACTTACCTTAGCCGGCCGCTGTCGCGCGCTTCAGCCACTTTAGTAGCCGCTTCTAGCTTCTCGTGGCGGCGTTTGTGGCTGTGGTGAGTGGCCCGTGTGCGGCGACACTTAGAGCGAAGAATCAGATGTGCCCTACCTTTCTTATCTCCACCTTTTTTTTATATCCAGGTAGGCAAATGATTCTACCCCACCTGATGTTAAGTGGTGATAAAGTCAGTCAGTCAGTTATAAACTGCCACACGAACCATCCTCCCCTTGTCGGCTTGCAAAAATGCTTCTTCACGCCTCTCTTAAAGGACCCCAGATTGTAGGATAGTGAGAACACGTGCGCGGGCGAAGAATTCCACTTACGAATAGTACGACAAAGAAATGAGTCGCCAAATTTCTTAGTTCGTGTAGGAACAATAAAGAGTATAATAAAATTATTGAATAACCTCCCCTCCACGGTGTCCCCTCAGTGCTATAACGTGGTCCTCTTCAGAGGCTTAGAACGAGTGTTGCACGAATGGCAGCGGCATGGCTGTGTCACTGCCATTGCTGTCCATGGGCGACGGTGACCACTTAACATCAGGTGGCCCATTCCCTACGCTCGTATTTGGTTCATCATTATCATTAGATTATTAATATCCCCACTGCTGGGGCACAGGCCTTCTCTATTCAGTGCGAATTGATGGGTGCTAACGATTACAGATGCAGCCGGGACCAACGGCTTAACGTGTTTTCCTAAGCACGGTGGAGCTCAAAATAGTAATTTTTTTAACAACGATCGCAGTCGAACGGTCTAACCACTTGTGCCATGGAATTAATCTTAAATTCAATTCAATTCAATTCTATATATTTATTGTTTCATTTGGTAATTATAAGTTCTTAAGATTTAGTTTCAGATCCAAACATGAACCCTATAAGGGTAAGAACACTACAATATCAAAATACAAAAAAAAATATAAATACACAAGTACGCTCATCATGAAACATTTGCATACGATAGAAGGTTTTCATCATCATCGTCATCAAAAACAGCCTATCTTAGTCCACTGTATGTCCAGTCCAGCGGTTATCGGTTCTGCGGCAAATATGGCCAGCCCACTGCCGTGGGCGAGTGGAGACCGCGTCTAGGCAAACGTAGTGTAGGACGTCCTCAGGCGCGATGGAGTGACGATGTGCGCAAGGTGGCTGGCAGGAGCTGGATCCGAGTAGCCCAAGATCGATCTGAGTGGCATGCATTTCGAGAGGCCTATGTCCAGCAGTGGACTAAGATAGGCTGTTGATGATGATGATGAAGGATACCCTACGTTTGTGTCTGGTTACCTGGGGAACATTTGGTCGCATCGCAGATCGGTCCAGCCGCCCAGTGCGTCCAATAGAGCAACGTGCAGCGCGCTGTCAGCTGGCATCTCCCCAGCCACCAGACGTAACGCCACGCTGTAACCGAAAGTATAATTATAAATTTCATTTTTAAGCATGTAACTGCTCGATGTTAAAATCTAAAGAAAATATTACTAGAAAAAATCCCACGTGGACCAGGCAGCAGACGGGACTCGAACCTGCACCCTTCGCTAACCAGGCGAATGCACTGACCATTATGCTACCGCGGTCCTGACGACGACGGTTTTTTCTAGCCTTTCTCAGGCTGCAAGGCAGCGCCATCATAATTGCTTTTTCTTCTTTGAAATGTTTAATACCTTGTAAAGGTATTCATTTGACATTGTGGTTTACCTAGAATGCAAAGATGCTAATTGCGAAGGGTGCGGGTTCCAGTCCCGTATGCCGCCTGGTCCGCGTGGATTTTTTTCTAGAAATTCTTCTTAAAAATGCCCGCTGGACTTTAGAACAGAAACTTCTCTTCAGTGTGTGTAACAAAGACCCTCTATTGTATTCTTATCAAATCAATTTCAATAAAGACTATCCAAAAATTAAAAAACGAGTGTGCCTATGACCACACGACTGAAGTGAAACTTGTTTAGCTCCATCTGTATGTATATATATGTATGTGTACAATATACACATGTATGTACAATACATAATGCACTCGTGCAGACACCTTAATAATAAGTAAAACAAAAAATATACTATAACAATGAACCTAAAACTAAGAAACCTTAAAAAATAAAATATAATAACTAAAATACATTATTAAAAGGAGTCCCTTTAGGCAAGGTTCCGAAGATACTGGCAGCGTTCCCCCTTTGGATAGCTAGACTAATTCTTTGTCCGAGTTAGCTGCCAGCTCTTCGGTCTCCTGTGATGTCGACTAATCTTTTCACTATTTCTTTAAAAAGCCTTATAGCGCTAGGACCCCACGGACCAAGGGTCTCGACACCGAATGGGACAAAATCATATTCGGAGCCTAGACCCCTGTATTTGCCTGCCTTAGCAATTGTACATTACAATTATTTACAATTGTACATATACATATTTCATTTACTAGCTATAAGAGAAAGAGAGAAAGACAATGTGAGCGAGCACTGCTTTCTCTTGCTTATATCCCCCTCTTATTCGTCAGCTTACCCCCCAAGTCAAGCGTTCGTAAAGAAGTTTCACTTCAAAAAATACTTTTAATCTTACCTATTAATCCTTGCCATGGTCCCATACGGAGCATCCAATTTGGTAGTAGCAACAAGATTCCTACAGTACAGAAGCCAGAGGCAATCCAGCTCGGTATAATAGGTGCCGTTGACAACTCCACCTCCGAACGAAGACTGCAGGTGGTTCAAAGCGACCGCGCTGCCATCAATGTTCCTGGAGAGTTGGCTGTGCACATTGGAGGGTGGGGAATCGCGGTTGGACAGCTGGTTTAAGATAGCCCTGTGGAAGTAAGGCAAGATGACTCCATCAGGTTCAAATGGTCGAAAGGCTCCAGACGGAGAGGAGACTCCCCCGTAGGGAGATGCCATCCGCCTGGAATACCTCTAGAGGCACTCGCCAATTCTCGGCTTGAGTTCCCCTTAGGATCTCGCCGTATCCAAACCCGGTGACGCTGTAAAGGTCATCTGCGACTAGGGTTGCTACCTTTTTTAATGTCCAAATAAAGTACATTGGTGATTAAAGGTGGAAAGTAAAGAAAGTACATTGTGTCCAAAATAAAGTTCTTTTTATTCCACTTTATTACTAAGCTTAAAAATATATTTTACGTTGCGTATAGCAACTTTTAATGAATAATTTGTGGTTACTAAAAATCTGTAGTTCTTATCCGCAATGGGAAAGGCCATTGTACAAAGTCTTACAGCCGCGACAATGTTGCAGAAATGAGCTAAGGGTGACATATTATACATTCTGTGGTTCCGTTTTACGCAAAAATTCTTCTTATCCTCTTTTTGTATGTTTTATGTAAAATTAATCCCCAAGTAATCAAATCACATTAAACAAAGTATTTTCGCGTACTTTATTGTTGGCATAAAGTATAGAGTACAATTACCCGAAATACGTACAATACTTTATAATAAAGTACGAGTGGCAACCCTATCTGCGACCAACAGCATACGCACTCAAAAAAAGGAAAGATGACTTTACCTCATATTATTAAAGTGATTTTTCAAAGAAAATTGTAGTAGAAATAAAAATCTATCTATTAAAGGAGTCCCTTTTTAATTTTACTTACAATTTTACAGGGACAAAAGAACAGGCATTTTTTAGTTTCTTGTCGATTGTATAGTACAAGGTCTCCATCGGTAGATTCGCGATACGATGGCGTAGATTTCGTATTTCGTAGTTATTCATTCATTCAATAAATGACTGAAAGAGTGGATTTCAACAACTATAAAAGTTTGCGAATTTTGGCGGTAAATTTTATTTTTTGAAAATAAGAAAAAGTGATGTAACTAAATGCGAAAACAATGTATTTTGTAAAAAAAAATAGTACAAAATATTTATTCTTAATATTTTGTCTCGTTTATGGCACCGAAATTGTCACGGCACCAAAATTGTACTTCCTCCACCTCAATTGGAAGTCATAACACCACAATTTTAACGTCCCACCAAAATTAAAAATTGAAAAAAATGTCTAATTCAATTTGGAAAACTAAATATTAATAACAATATTAATGATATATTTTTTATTTTGTAAATTGTATATTATTTAAGTTCTTAGTTATTTTTGGTTTTTACGTTTTTAGACATTAGGTAGTTTTAAGCTTTTGTAAATATTGTGATAATCATATAATTCTTATTATTTACAAAGATTTTTTTCCCCTTAATAACAATAGACAATTTACAGCCTTTAGAAATTACAAAAGTTAAAAGGGTACAATTATTTTCTTGGCTGAAAATGACATCTTCACTATTCTTTTGTAGTAAAATTGTCTTTAATTAATAAATCTAGCAGTTGAATGCTTAAACAATAAAAACCTGACAAAAGCCAGAAAAAAAAATTCACAATCGAGATAAAGCATAAAATAACTAATAACTATTTTTATGTATAAATCAACTCTTAAAAAAGATTGAATATAATAACCATTTTTTCTCCTTATCATGCTTAGTATTTTTATTAAATTGTACTAACAGTAAAACAGTCTTTGAAATATTATATTTTTTTATTACTAATTAAATTACAAAGAATGGATCTCGAAATTAGTTAAAATATTTACTTTTGGTTAAAATACAACACAAGTATAATTTAGAAATTTTAGAACACCCGAGAGGATAAAAAAAACCTTTTCGTGATATACTTATCGGCTATCCAATAACAAAAAGACACGGTTATCTACCTAGTAACTTAAAAAAATTAAAACATCTCTAGCGGCCAACGGCCGAAAGTCGGCACCTGTCAATAGCCCGATTTGCAGCAAGCGGCCGAAAGTCGGCACCTGTCAATACCACGATTTGCGGCAAGCGGCCGAAAGTCGGCACCTGTAAATTCCCCCGATTTGCAGCAAGCGGCCGAAAGTCGTCACCTGTCAATACACCGATTTGCGGCAAGCGGCCGACTTTCGGCCATGTGGTACGGGGCTGACTTTCGGCCTTCATTCTTTTTGCTATCACCTACATTCTTATATCAATTTGTAGAGAAGAGAACGGGCTAGCTTATACCTGTAAATTATGTACTTATAGGTCTTCTAGCGTCTTCTGTTAACTTACTTGGTGTTCTTGTAAGCTCGTCCCAAGTTGATGGCGGCCCGGGTGGTGCTGACACCGATCTCGAGGAAGTTGTCCAGCAAGCTGCTACCGAGGTCCGACTCCTCGGTACCCTGGCGGAGGTTCTGGCGTTTTCTGATCAGAAAGACGGTAAAACTGTACTTTCGGGGCCCAAGAATTGACACTTCTCTATTTTTGGGTGATAAGGTCTCTGTTATTGAAGTCTGTATGCATGTTGTCTCCACACCAGCGCACTGATAGTTTTTGAGAAAATAAATAAATAAATATTTCCAACACTCACACCAATTAGCCTAGCCCCAAAGTAAGCACTGTAACGCTTATGTTATGGGATACTAGGGTAACGGATAGAATACATATACTGTACGTATATAAGCATGTTTATATGGAAATACATAATAAACATCCATGACTGGAGTACAAATGCTCGTATTCATCACACAAACATCTACCCCCACCGGGATTCGAACCCGGGACCTCTCGTGTCGGTGACACCATGAAACCCGGCGTAAAAACCACTAGGTCAAGGAGGTCGTCGGAAAAAAAACTTTTCATTAATAATATTATTTATTTACGCATAATAAAATAATATATAATGAAAGGCTTATAGTAGCGTTTGCGTTTTTCTTACGGTTTTTTTTTCTTGTTAATGGCTGTATGAATCTGATATTTTGACTACTAAAAACTGTTTAAAAAAACATCGATGTTAATATACAAAACGGTGTCCACTATGGTGTTATTTACTAAAAAAAGTAACAAATTTCAACATTTTTTTTTGTATAAAAATCTATCACTACATAAGATTGGAGACTTTATTTATTAATGAGTCATTTGCCTACCTAGCTATAAAAAAATGTGAATACCAAAAAAAATACGTGTCTACTACTTTCTGTCCCGTAGCATGAGCACACAACTTACATTATATCACGTCTTTTATCGTGTCTTACTGTCAAACTCCATAGTAATTTGACAATTGAGCGTGATAAAAACGCGTCATTTATCATATCACGGAGTACATGCTTGTGGGCTGATAATCTACCTGGTAACGCCAAACATAGTCTAATCTCTAAATTCCATACCGTGCCATTCTCTTTTCGAATTAACCGCATCCCAATCGATCTTTCTCCTTCAACTAGTATGCCTTATGCTTATGAGGGAAGAAGACGCAATATATTCGCCGGCAACGACGGATGGCCGGAAGGAAATGGCAGTCTGTCATCAGTCTGTCACCACGAAATAACGAAATGGTCGAATTTGTCATCGCGCCGCAAGCTATGGTGATTATACTTTTCCGCATTAAACTCCGATAAAGAAGTGTGTGAAGATTAATTAACAATCTTAATTAAATGAACAGATTTCCTCAAAAATAGGAGGTTTTGTGTGTGTAAGGCACTAGCCTCACAAAAGTGATCCGCATGAATTGTGGTCCACGACCCTAATCACTTTAGTCACAACTTGACATGCAAACGACGTACAGGTGAACGCCAAAAAGAAATATTGCTAATATTTTGTGTTTATATGATAAAACAATGCCTGTGTGTTTTTAAAAAGTGCTCAAATTGCTCAAAAACTAAAGATAACACCTACAGCATCACTTTTCATTCGTAAGTACTATAAAATATATTTTTTCATAAAAATTGCTGTTTGTTTTGAATCTTATTCGGTAGTGACGTCGAGTACTGGTCGCATGATTGGTCGGTAGTACAGTGACGCGGATCTCGCCGTCTCGTTCGCGCTGCCGTTGAAACTTAACGTGCTGTTTCGTTCAGGTCGGTAATGCAGTGACGCGGATCTCGCCGTCCCGTTCGCGCTGCCGTGGGATCAGTTTTTGTTTGATGCAAGTATGAGCGTACTGTATCTACCCTTTTTGTTTTAATCTAAGGTGATAGCTATCAACAACGACTTTCTTGACCGCCATCTTTCAGGAAGAGACTGCTGCAGGAGAAGCTGATGTATGAGCCAGTTCCACCGTCGAGGCCCTCCGTAAGTAAGCACAGTGTTTTGTCCTCATCCTATCCCATAGACCAAACCCGCTTAATATTTCGAACCAACACCTACAGTCCACTCTCCGGGGTTTCGACCCCACCAGATATCATTTTACTGCATTCGGCTTTACCACTACCTGATATATATAAATGAATGAAATTATACTTTATTTAAATTGTATTTAAAGAAAAGTTTACTAGACAAAAATCCACGCGGACCAGGCAGCGGATGGGACTCGAACCCGCATCCTTCGCAATCCGGGCGAATGCACTGACCATTATGCTACCACGGCCCTATTAGCCGCGTCGAAATTTTCCTAGTCTTAAGCTGCAAGGCAGCGCCATCTCTTCGCATTGTTTTTTTTAGTAAACTTTTCTTTAGATTTAAACATCTAGCAGTTAAATGTTTAAAATAAATAAAATTAAATTGAATTGTTTAAAGTTTTTTTGCACGTCCAATATATTTTCTAACACCAATTCAGGACATCTTTTAGCTGTTGAGAAGAATGGGGCGCAAGAAACTCATCAGCATTTCACAGAAGTAGCAAAATTTACAAATAAAATCATGTCGCTACCAATAGAACGTCCACTCACATTTTGATTGCCGTGTCATATTTTTTTTTATTTAATTGAATTCTTAATGCACAATTGTACAATGGCGGACTTAATGCCGTAGGCATTCTCTACCAGTCAACCATATGGTGTTGTGGAGAAAATTAGTGGTAGGGTGCACATGTGAGGTGGAAATCACATTTAAAGCAGTAAACATAAATATTATAATAATATATATTAATAAAATTACACAATAATTTTATACATATACATACATATATATAAACATACACATACGTAAACGTATAATAAAATAACACTAAATAAAATTAATACATAATAATGAAGACTAACTACTAGAACAAATTGTGTCAGACATCTATACATAGAAATAAAATTGGAGGGTCTGTTTGTAATATTGAAACAACCGCTTTTTATTACATGCATATGAATATATGTACATACACCAAAATAACATTTTTTTTTTATTTTTGTCTGTCTGTCTGTCTGTTCCGGCTAATCTCTGAAATGGCTGGACCGATTTTGACGGGACTTTTATTGGCAGGTAGCTGCTGTAATAAGGAGTAAATGAGGCTACATTTATTTTAGAAAAAATCTTTTATTTCACCGATCCAGGTTCTTGAGAGCTTTTTTTTGAGCTAAAGTTAACACATAGGCTACATTTTACTGCGGGAAAATATCTCTAATAAACCGCGGGTAATACCGCGGGGCACAGCTAGTTATAAATAAAGAAGAAATACAAGTTAGTCGTCTTGTCATCCCCATTACTATAAAATATTATTAAATCAATAGATTTGCAAGATACTACTTTTAAATTTTATTTATTTATCTTTAACAAAGTTTCTACAGCGGTTTTTTGTGGAATTTAATACAATAAAATATAGATACAATCTTAAGGCCAATTACAGAAACTCATTATGTACACATTAGATACTAACGGCGTTATTATATGTCAGTAATTATTACATTTAATTTTAGAAATTGTATAAAAATATATATATATATATATTATCTTGTTTCCATTGATATAAAAATATAATAAGTAATTTGATGAATTCTTTTTGCACTACCTTAAGATTTTTGCTAAAATTCTCCGGTTGACTGGTAGAGAATGCCTAATGGCATTAAGTCCGCCACTTGTACATACTTTTGTGCAATAAAGTATAAATAAATAAATAAATAAAAAATCATATACCTAATTTACTAACATAAATAATAAAATAAAATTAAGATTGGACAAAACTAACAAAATGTCAAAAAAGAAAAACATTGAATACCCATATAAAAGGGTTTTCAAGAATTTGTCACATGATAACTTTATGAAGTGTGGGTGGGTGTGTGTGCGCGTATGTGTGTGTTAGCGATGCGCGACTACGAATGATTTTACCTTTCGACTAATTCGTAACTACTAATTTGGCTATTCGAAAGACAAATTAGTAGTATACTGTTGTCATTATTCGAATAACGACTACTAATTTGTAATACTAATGTCAAATTTACAACGTCACATAAGTCAGTTGAGAGTTGGTTAGTCGACCGACTTTTAGTTGTTAGTAATATATTCTGCGGGTCGCTACGTGCGACAAGCGCCGCCCGATACTTTCGACTCCAGTCGAATGATATAAAGCGCAGTCGACTTAGTCGAATGATGCGTGGAGTCGAATGATTAGTATTAGTATTATTCGAAATCGCGCATCGCTAGTATGTGTGTGTGTGTCCATGCAGCTGCAACGCTATGCTTAGTAACGAGATGGCGGACGCCGCAACCCGGGCACTAGTCATCATTCAAGTACTTCAATGTGAGTGCTTGTAATTGTACGCCTACATGGCGCTGAGAATAAGTCAAAAATTACACATAAATAACACTCACGAGGTTAACGCTGGTACTCCTTGCCGGCTGACCACGTTCTGACTCGCTGCAACTTTACTCGGGTCCATGAACAGAGCATTGAAGGCGAACACATCCGGATCCTTCAACATTTTAGCGCGGGCTGATTCCTGAAGTATGTACAAATATTGATTATATTATTTAAATATATAAAAGTTAGCGCGTTCGGCTGCGATCGTTGAAGTTAAGCAACTTTCGCAGTGGTCGGTCATTGGATGGGTGGCCGAAATTTTTTTATCTCGAGTTCCTCCGTGCTTAGGAAGGCACGTTAAGGTGTTGGCCCTGGCTGCAATCGGCACTGGTCCCGCGTGGTGGGTCTTGGCCCAATCTCCCTACTTATTCCATCCATAGGGAAGGCCTGGGCCCCAGCAGTGGGGACATTAATAGGCTAATGATGATGATTTAAATATTGATTACAGATATGGGGGGAGTACTTCACAAGGGGCAAGGTGGACAACCTTGCCCCTTGTGAAGTTACTTTATGGTTTTCTGCTGCACTTGAGTAAATTCTAAAATCCAAGCTGGAGTTTTGGAACCCTGGTCTACTATACGGTTCAGTAAGTTCAACCTGCAATCGTGGAAGTTAAGCAACTTCCGCAATCGTCAGGATGGATGGATGGATGGGTGACCAATAACTTAATCTCTCGAGCTCCTCCGTGCTTCGGAAGGCTCGATAAGCCGTTGGTCCCGGCTGTACCTGCAGTCGTTAGCACCCACCAATTCGCATTAGGCCCTAGTGGTGGGTCACACCCCCATCTCCCTATGCCATCCATAGGCAAGAACATTAATAGGCTTATGATGGTGACTTAAGAAAGAAAGAAATTTGAAATAAACCTGATTCTCCCACGCCATCAGTTGTATGTTATGCAACAGCATTATGTCCAGGGTCAAAATGCCAAACGACAATAGATCCGTACTGTTGCTTGCGATCATCTTCCTAGGATGACTCGTTGTGGCATTAACATCGCCAAGATACAAGTCTCTGAGCTTGCTCATCACTATAGTAACATCTCCTTGTACCAAACTCTGATTTAGAGCCTTCAATATTTCAGTGAAATCGCTACTATTCCGGGCAATCCTCGATGTGTTCTTCACAGTTTCGAAATCAGGATCGGAGTTTATCCAATCGTGGAGCTCTTGCACTTTCTCAATCAAATAGTTTGTCATGGTATTGCTCTGCATGTAGTCTTCATAAAGATTGTCGTCGCTGTAATACTCTTCGTAATCTTGGCTTGGTTTCCTCAGACCAAGAAAATATCCATCGGGTAGTTTGACTTCTCCTTGGATGAAAACGTCGGGAAGAGTTGGTTTAAACGCAGGGATAGGTCTTTTGGTGTTGTCAGCGTTGAGTTTGGGTAGATGTTCTGGATACTTCGCCTGGTCCTTCTTCTCGATCTTTCTTTTAGCATGTTCTATTGTAGTGTCATGTAAAGGATGTATCTGAGGTTTAGACACTAAATCTTTCTTTGTATTCGCCCTTTGAGCGACGACGTTCTTGAATATAGACAGCTTCTCTATGATTTCCATGTCTGTGTCTATTTCGTTGCTGCTAGTTGTTGTGTCGTCTTCAACGTGGTCTGGTTTATGCGTGAAGTATATTGGATGAGGATTTGAATAGACTGGGTCCTGGGGAAGAAAATGCTCAAATAGTTATGAGAGACTAATGGCCGCCCGCGACTTCACCCGCGTTTACTTTAGCTTTTAGGGGATTCCTCAAGGACCCCAAAATTTTCAGAGATAAAAAGAATCCTATGTCTATAGTTGTTTTGCGTGACTGAGTAACAAACAAACTTTCACACTTTCAGTTCTGAGACGGTAGAAAGATCCACGTTACAGTATTGGAGAATACTGTTGCTCTGGAGTGTCGTCATTCATTCAGTAGAATTATTGTGATTGGTAACATCTCCAACAAAATTCATAAGCTCTTTCACTGTCTGTGCCTGTCCCTATCCTTGTTATGCCTATTGCGTATTTTTTTTATGGAGTCAGCAATCTTCGGAGCGGTATTTGAAATAAGTTTTTACAAGATATCTTTCATGTCTTTTGCGACTTCTTCGGTTTCTTGAAACAAGATAGGATGTTGCAAAAAGATTTATATATATATATATATATATATATATATAGGGCATCCCACGGGTTACTCACACGGAGCAAAAGTATGTTAAATATTAAGATCGGATATTTTACTGAAAGAAGACATAATTTTATTTTCAAAAATAACTAGAACTGCATTCACAGATTTTTTTAAAGTCGCCTGCTTCAACTGGAAAAAAACTCGAGAAATTTGAAAAAAAAATACGACCTATTTAATCATAACCATCGAAAGGGTCATTAATAAGTATTATTTTTTCCTAAATAACATAGCACTTTAAATGCAAGGAAGATCATGAAATTAAAATTTTGTTCAGGAAAATTTATTATTACCTGGTCCTCGAGTATTTGCCTGGTGTATTCGTTGGGGGAGCCCCATTTGGTAATTACTACTGTAGCCAGGACAAGCGCAGCGCACACCGCGAAACAAGAAGCACTGGCTATGATCCACACCTTCAGTGGGACCTGTAATTAAACAACAGAAGATTAATATAATTCTAAAGAAAAAATAAATAAATCAATATTTCCAACACTCACACCAATTAGCCTAGCCCCAAAGTAAGCACTGTAAGGCTTGTGTTATGGGATACTAGAGTAACGGATAGAATACATATACTGTACATATATATATAACTATATTTATTTAGAAATACATATTAAACATCCATGACTGGAGTACAAATGCTCGTATTCATCACACAAACATCTGCCCCCACCGGGATTATAACCCGGGACCTCTCCAGTCGGCGTTACTATGAAACCTGCGTACAAACCACTCGGCCACGGAGGTCGTACAAAAAAAAATCCACGAGGACCACGCAGAAGACGGGACTCGAACATCAACATGCACCCCCGTTATTCGGGCGAATTATGCTACCGAGAACCATGGCCAAGTAGACTCTCTTTTAGTATTTTTTAAGCTGCAAGGCAGTGCCATCTCTCCGCATTGTAGGTAACCTACGATGTCAAACGAATACCTTTGCAAGTATTAAACATTTGAAAGAAGAAATAGCAATTGTAGTTACATTTTTAAGCATTAAACTACCAGATGTTTACATCTAAAGAAAATTTTACAAGAAAAGAATCCACTCGGGGCGGCTTTCAGACAGGATTTAAAGATCCGGGTGGAAGCACGAACCAATTATGCTATCGACACCTATGGCCGTTTCGACTTTCTTCTAGTATTTTAAGGAGCAAGGCAGCGCCATCTTTTCTAGTAAAATTTCAATATTAATAATTAATTATTGTGGGGGCGACATCTACATGCCCCACATATAACTAGCATGGAGGAAATAATGTTACGCCTCCTCGAAAGATGGCGTTACCGGCGATGTGCTCACAACGTATGGAAGCCTAAATCGCGCAAGTAAAATTCAGGGGATAACACTCGATATATACGATGCCCGACCAACATCAGTCGTGCGTGCTGCGGCCTCCGAGCCACAGCTTGAAACCGGTTTCGAAAATACCGGTAAATAAAGGTTAATACCGGTTTTTAGTAACGCTTTCGTTCAGAGCGCGTCCGAAATAAAAAGCGGTACCTAAAACCTTAATAAACCGGTTTAATCCAGAGCGACACGTGCACGCGTCGGCATCGCTTGAAGTTTGTTGTTTGAACTTATCAAGCCACAACTTGTTAATTGATGCATTTATTGGCATGTTTGCTAGCGTATAGTGAGTCAAGTTATTCATTTATTATCGATTCCGTCAGAATGAGCGAAATGAAACCCTTTAAAAACCGCTAGATTGATTCAAAACCTATTTGATTTCGCTCTTTAGGAAAACCGGTTTTTTAAGGTTAAGGTAGAGCCAAACCTAAACAAAACGCTCCTAATGTACTTGACACTGATTTAGATTTGAAAATTAACCGGTAAACAAGCCCTGCTTGGTAGCTCGGATACCTTAGCTTTGGCCTTCCTACAAATTAAATCTGTAACGTAAGGCAATATGAGCGAGCGAAGCGTTGTATTGCTGCGTGTCCACCTAGTGCTTAGAACAGTAGACCTATTCGCTAACCCTGAATTGTTCGTTCGTCTCAGGAATCCAGTTGTTGCGTTTCCGTAGAGGTACCTTAATACCTCGACATACCTGTAGTCTACTTGGCACCTTTGGAGAGACTGTAACACCGCCCAGGTCTCAATCGAATCGAAAGCTTTCTCATAGTCCACGAACGCCAAACAAAATGGCAGATTATACTCTTCGGTCTTCTGTATAACCTGCCGTAGCGTATGAATGTGGTCTATGGTACTGAAGCCTTTGCGGAAACCAGCTTGTTCGGGAGGTTGGAAGTCGTCAAACCTGCGTGCGAGACGATTCGTAATGACTCTCGAAAACAACTTATAAACATGGCTAAGAAGCGAGATTGGTCGATAGTTTTTCAAGAGTGCTTTGTCACCTTTCTTGAAGAACAGGACAACCCCACTTCTGGCCCATGCTTTTGGCGTTCTGCCTTCAAGGATGATGGAGTTGAAAAGCCTCTGGAGGACTTTAAGTATCGGCTTACCGCCCGCTCTCAGAAGTTCTGCTGTGATTCCATCATCGCCCGCCACCTTGTTGTTTTTAAGTTGTTTGAGAGCCATACTAATCTCATATAGGCTGACGTCCGGGATATCTTCAGTGCAGTGTCGAGTAAGCTTGGCTCTGGGGTCTCTAGCCTTGCTTTCAACTGGTGCTTGCGTGGAATATAGCTGTCCATAGAAACTCTCAATCTCCCTCAGGATTTCGGCCTTAGACGAAATGATGCTACCGCTGTCAGTCTTCAGCTTTGTCAATTGGCTTTGCCCAATAGACAGATCTCTCGCGAACACTTTGGAGCCTTTGTTGCGCTCGATAGCCTCTTTGATACAATGTGTATTAAATCGGCGAAGATCGCTCGTCAAGGACTGTGATATCTGTCTATTTAGCTGCCGGTACTGACTTGCATCATTTATGTGGTAGAATACAATATTTATTTATTGCGCTATCGTACACAAACATGACAATTTATATTACATTAAAAAAGTTTATCTCTCAGAAAAATCAACTTACATCACATTTAAGCGCCCTTAGCGACATCTATTGTAAAAAAATCAACTTACATGAATCACATTTAAGCGCACCTAGCGACATCTATTGTAAAAAAATGCATTTTCTTCGCAATAAAACTGCCACCTGGACGTCCTAGATAGAGACTTATTATTATAATCCAATATATTGAAAGTCAACTACCTTTCCAATTTTATTGTTTTCGTCAGATCCCCAATCAGGGCACGGGTCATGACGCGATCAGCCCACGTGTCCTGACGCGAGTTAAACATTTTTTACCCATACAAAAAAAAGTGTACAATGCCGCTAAAGAAGTTTTCACTTCAAAAAATATTTATTTCTCTCCACAAAGATCAACGGGTAATAGTAAACATAGGTTATTACTTAATATACATACATTAACGAGTCTGTGGGAGACAGGAGTCTAAACTAGGCAGTAATCTTCCTGTATTTTAGTACACCAGGCCTCCAATCCTCGATACAATTTTAAAACACTCCATAAAGACCTAATAGATATATGTTTAAATTTATTTATGGTAGAAACAAATTTAAAATAGAAATCATAAAACTGTGCATGTGTATGTGTGTTTGTGTGTGTGTTAAATTAACTTACAAAAAGTTTGTCAGTCTCATCATATCATAAATGCTTCGACTTTCAATGTTTGGAAATAATTTGCACAGGTGTTTCCTTTAAGATATTATAAATAATATTGTAACATCATTGTAGTTACTGACATTGGCATTCTTGTAACGACATATTTTTCGATTAGTCATTTACACAACATAATGTAAGCAAAAGTTGTTCATTTTAAAGAAAAAATATTTTTATATTATAATGAAAAGAACACTTTCTTTAAAATGAAACGACATGTTTAGCTTATGCTAAACCAGGGGAGTACTTTAAAATCTGGCAACTGGTCACATACAATTTGCACCCCTCTAGAATAAAACCCCTCGTGAATGCAGTTCTAGTTATCATTAATATACTTTCCCTCCGTGTGACAAACCTGTGAGATGCATTCAACGTAGGGCTGCCATCTCTAAAATGTGGCAACCAGGACAAGACGCGTGATAACCCCGGATTTTGGACCTAAAAACCCGGACAGACCAATAAAAAAGCAGTTAAAATGTCACAAATCAACTTTTTTTATGTTGATGTATTCAAAAGAGCTAGCTGTCCACATGATAATAAGTGGTCACTGCTGCCCATGGACACTTGCAGCACCAAGGGCCAATCATGCGTTGCCGGCTCTGAACGAAAAGGTTCATCCACCTTTTTAAGATTACCATATCATAGCTATAAGAAAAAAATACTGAGGGAAGTTCGTTCCAGATCTTGCTGATACGCAAAAGATAGGAACACGTTGTGCTCGAACGCCAGGCGTCCAGATGGTGGCCGTGAAACTTCTCTGCGGTGTGTGATGCTGTGAAGAAGCTTGGCCACTGGCATCCGGTTGAATAATTCCTAGGAACACTCTCCAGTGTATAGACGGTACAACAAGTACAAGGATTTGCGTCCTTCTGCGTGTTGTACCGTCTGCGTAGCTAAGGGGTTGCATGCAACGCGTGAGTGAACTCAGGATCATCGATAAGTCAAACTGCCTGCTTTTGCATCCGGTTAAGCGGAAGGAGCTGGTATTGGGGTGCTCCAGCCCAGAGGATCAGTACTTTGTATAATAACACCCGATATTTAGGCTTGAGGTACTTACTATATCTATTGAGCACCCAAGCTTTTTCACACAAACATGTGTCTTTATTTTAAATAAAATCATTATTCTGACGATGCAGACCTGAAAAGGCTGCGAAACGTCAATAAATAAATAAAGTTTCGTGCATTAACCCGTAAAAACTAGTTTTATTTAATGAGTGATGTGCGTGAAAACCTAAGAAACAAATATGTGTCTTTGCTGGGTTATTCCAATTAAATTTTGTTGGCTCCAATTTGAGACTTGATCCAGTAACATCTCAATCTCGGACACAAGTCTGTCTTTACACCCTTCTACTTTTATGAGAGGGATTTTTGACTGACCAGTGTAAAAAATATCGAATTCGAATAGCTGGCGAGTCCGAAATGTCATTGTCAAATTTTGTATGAAAACTTGATCAGCAGCACCATAACCGACGTAACGAGAACTAAGAATCAGTACACATTTGACGATGACATTTCGTACTCGCAAACGATACGAATTCGATATTGGTTCGTGCTAGGGGTACTGATCTTTGTAGGAAGTCAGCATTTACGGTTACAGTGTCAGAATAGATTTATTTATTTTCAAAGACATATTGACGGATCAGTTGGCGATCAAAAACAGAAAATTTATAAACCCGGACTACAAATGAAACCCCGCCCGGACGCTCCCCGGACGCCCTGTAAAGTAGGACAAATCCGGGGAAACCCGGACGGATGGCAGCCCTAATTCAACGGAGCGTGCGGTAAAACG